TAACAGGGCAAACAGAGCTCTGGTATGAGTGGGCGTGTCTGGGCAAGGTGGTGGAGGGTAAGATCAGCACTAGCCAAGGGCCTCGAGTGTTCCATGATCTGATTGTGTACTTTTCTTCCTCTCGTTCTGCCCAACTGTGCTTTGTGACTGCTTTGGCTGCAATGGTCTCCTGTCCAGTCGTTTGGTTCATCCTGGCACATGTTCTGCAATATGCCATTCCACTGCACTATATCCCTTTCCTTCTCAAGAGTTAACAATTTGCGGAGCACAGCTGCGGTAATGCAGCTGGCAGCATTTTTACTGGAGCACAGCTTCCGCTTCGTCTTTCGATCGGGCATTCTCTGTCTGAAAAACATGTTAGCATACGGCACCCATCCACTTTTTTTTCCATATGTGCTGCAAAGGCACAAAAATCAGCCGCCGTGCCCGTAGAGCTTGCTCGTATTTCGTGATATTGTTGAGGAATCTGTCGGTGCGCCCCGAAGTTGCAATTGGCTTGTTCACCGTACTTACCAGAACGGCGGTAAAAATAGCACGGCTGCTGGCGCTGAAGTAGCGTCGACCTTGGCGTGACTTGTCACTCAGCCGCCTGGTTACCCCTTTCTTCTCCTCTGCTCCCTTTTCTTCTTTTCCTTGCATGCTGCCTCCTTCTTACGCTGACAATCTTCCTTGGTGCGTTGTGATTTCGCGTTGAATTCCTCGAACGGGCATACCCCAACGCAGATGACGGGAGAGCGGGGTGCTGTTTCCTGTCTTTCTTTTCGCATTCCTTGTCATCGGATCATCGCCTCCTGCTGGTTAGCCACTCGCCGTGTCCGTCTTGTCCACTGTTGTGTGTGCTTTCCAATTGGTAGCTCCTCCACTTGTTGATTTTTTTTCTCTCTCACACCGCCTCTTCAGACCAAGACAGGGTGAAATATGGAAACGTAACACATATTGCATGCCCAAACACCACTAGTTGCGTGAGACCCCATACTGCTACTTTTGAACATTTGCGTTGGCCTGGTCATCGCGGGGAAGGGCTCCGGGCGGAACAGAGCCGACGTGCAGTAGCTCTCCTGCGCAGCGTAGCGTTGCGGCCCCCTTGCGTTTATCGGGCGAAGTCCATTTGTTTTTCCTTCCTTTTATTTTATTTTTAAAAAAATATAAACAAAAGGATAGGGGGTGCAGCTTCGCAGAGTTGTCGTTTCGGTCGTTCGTCGATGGCCGTGTGGCTCTATGAGAGATTGCCATTCGTCAGGCGGAGATTGCCATGTGGAGCAGAGGTGTACGAAGTATGACAGGATGCGTGTAAGTCAGAGGTGGTTCTTGAGTGCGGTAGAAGACAAAAGCGGAGTCCCGCCCGACTTCGTACAAAGAGCACAGGTCTTTCAGACCAGGTTTCTTTTGAAAATGTTTTGTCTTCTGTAGAACTATATTCGAGCGTTTGCGTGTAAGTTTCAGAACGTAACGGGGCAAGAAGCCGATTCCTAGCTGGCGGATGTTAACGAATAACGGCCACGACTGTGTGAACTTGTCTTAGCCACCAAAATGCAAGTGTCGCCTCTTTCCGCAAGCAAATAAGGCTGATGGTGCCTGTCGGCAGGTGTGATACTGACACAAGGTACGGAAGTGTGGCATGGTCTGGCAAGAACAAGTTGTTTGTGGCGCGGACGATTCTTGCCTTCGGATCAAGGAGAGCTTCTGGGGTTGAGGGACACGCCACATAACAGAGTTAGACCCCGGTGGCCCCGTGTTTTGAGCCTCCTTTGAGCCATTCTGGATTCGCTGTGCAGAACCAGATGTCTGCGTCGTGCGTCTCGAACCGTGCGCTGTGCATCGTCCAGTTGTATGCATGTACACCACTTTGCTGCATATCCACACCGTAAAGGTACACGGCACCCTTGTCGTGGTTTTCATGATTTATATTTTTTCGCCTCACATGACCCTTATATGCCGGCTTGTAAAATTGCATGGCATCTGCAAGATGCGCCTCCTGCTTCAGGTCCGACCGAGACCCATCGAGCCAGGATGGTTTGATGTAAGAAAGGGGGCGGAGCTACACCGGATGCTGGATGCCGCACTTTGCTTGCACCTGCGCCATTCTTTGTTTGCGCTTGTGCAACGTCAACCAAGCCCTTGCATTCCGAGAACGAGTTGCGAAAATTGAAGAACAGATGTGGGCTGTAAAGTTGCTCTTTGGTTTGCGACTGTTTCTGTTAGCAGATTTCCAAGCTGCAATAGTGTGTCCCTCAACAGACGTGGCGGTGAGGTCGACTCCCCAACTCAAACCCAAACCAGCGCCTGCGCCGGCATGAGCCGTGCCGGACACATCGAAACCCGGATATTTGCCATCTTTCTGTGCTGCTTTCTTACCACGAAAGCGATAGCTTGCTGCTTTGTAAAGAGGGAAATATGCCGTAGACTGGTTCAAACCGTCAAGAGTAGCTCGGTGAGATAGGCAAACTGCCCCCCACACGAGACGTATCGTATCGATGCACCTTGTCCAGGTTCGTCTTCACTTAGCACAGCGAGCCCACACAAAGCGGCGCATGCCGACGCACGCCCTCCGTGACGTGCAACCCGGTCAGACGAATCTACCATGACAAAAGGTGATGCCAGACACACACCCTAGCTCCGAGACCGATCTGGGTGAACCCCATGACCGTTCGAATCTGCTTGCTGAGGAGGAATGTGCATCAACAAAAACAGAGACCCCCGCACTGCATCCCACACTCCCAGGGGCGGTCAGGCGAAGCGGATAGTCGCGTAAGGAGCAATTACGGGGTATGGATTCTTGTGGTCTTTGCCTCTTGTGGTTCTTCGACCGATTGCGTCTTTTGTTGGGGGGCTTTTGTTAGAGTGTGTTATTCGAATTCGGTTTGCTATGGGATTCTCACGTTGTGTTCTGTCGACTGGGGTCCTCAAGTGCAAGTCGTCCTAGCGTGTAAACAAAGCAAAGTAAGCGATGGAAGCACTAGAGAAACCAATGTTGTGGGACAAGGAGCAAGGGTGTTGGTATGTGATCCTTGGAGGCTTGAAAGTCAATGGGAAGAGAGGAAATGTGCGGATGGGAGAAGAAAGGGGCCATCTTTTGCTTTCGTCCACAATACTGCCCACAACCACTTCGATACTGGGGCTGGTCGTTCTTGCCTTTTGTGCTTTTCAAATTCTCGCCGCCTTCTATCTCTTCTGACTTCTCATCGCTCCTTCCCATTTTCCCCGTCCTTGGACAAAGTAGTGCCGACCGACACACGCCGTGCGCCTTCCTCGACTTCCCATTCCGCGGCTTCCGTCTGGCATCGAGTAAGTACGGTCGCACCTTCCCCGTAGAACACACCATGCAAAAACGTCAACAAAGGCCGCACCTGCCAAACAAAGAGCCGCGCCCCTGTATTCCCCTGGGTCTCCTTCTCGTCTTTTTGCGATCCTCGTCGTCTCCGTCCTTCCCGCATACTTTTTCGTCAAAATAGCTTCACCCACCACCTTAAGCATACTTTGTACGCTCACACCCTATATTTCACCGTGTTAGTGCAAAGTGGCCCTCCCTCCCCACCTTTGGAGTTACCCAGGTGCATCTTCATTTCACATTTCATTCCGCCTGGGCCTGTGTCATACCTGACTTTTTTTTTTTTTTTTGCTGACTTTCAATGGCACAGCGTTGGACCCAAGCCAGAGCTTGAGTCTCCCGTCTACCGGCTGTCAAATCTTTCTCTCGACATACCCTCAGTTCCTAGGTGAGATCCTCCTCGTCTTCTCATCACTTTCGCGTCACTACCGTTTCTTCTCGTAACGAAACGAAACAATTCTCCCATATTACATTTGCCATGTTGGTGTCTTGACATCTCCTCACTTTTCCCTCACTGCCCTCTCTCTCCGTTCTGGCAGCGATCCTTGTCGATCCCTGGAGCCTCCTGTCATCGACGGTCAGATATCTAGTGCTGTCCTAACTCCTTTATCCGCCTGCCAGTCTATCCGACCACTGTCGCAACTGAAAGCTTATTTCCAGATTGCCAGACTAAAGTGTATTGTTCGCTAATAATAGAGGTCATCACAGAATCCGTCCTGATCACGGAGTAATCCAGGTCACTGTCACCCTCCACCAGCGCCACGCTAGCTGCCTGCCAGGCCAGACCGACCTCATTCTCTATCCACGCCCCAGAAGGCCAGGCCTCGTTCCTCGTTGCCGTCCACGCCCGCCGTGTAGCCACTGTTTTACGCACACCTCCCATCCATTTCCTCAACACACCCTCTCCTCAGTCCCATCACTCGAGTCTTGGAGCTTTGCGGCGAAGCTTGCGAGGATACGAATGCCCCCAAATCCCGTCCACGTATTCAGACCTCTTCACCCCCAGAAACGCCGAACACCGCAGTGCAGATTTTTCGGTTCTGGACTCGCCACGTCCACGCGGTCGCCTCCCTAGCTTTCTTCGCGTCGACCGAAGCATTCTATTGACCCCTTTCTGTATTGCTCCTCTCTCATCTCTCTGCTACCTCTCGCTGAACCCCCAAACCCCCCTCCCATTGTCCTATATAAGACTGGCGGCTCTGTCCAACAAAAGGATTTTCTAATCTCCCTTTTTTTCTCGTCATATTCATTTACCAAAACCTATTCAAGTTTTGTCGTCGTTATTGAGGCGCGTAGGTACTCTTTTGTACCGCACTCTATAGTTTTACCAAACCCAAGTTGTTTGAGTTGGTATATTCCTATTCATCGTCAACGACATTTTGGCGTTGCATTCCCCACACAAGCTTCCAAACCCCCGGATAGTTTGGCCTTCGTCGAGTAAAATTCACGATCCGTCCAACCACCCCACTACCTTACCTTTTTACTACTCTACTTATCTTCGCTCGCTTCACTTACACACACCTAGTCCCCAAATCTGCCGTTCTCTATTTATTCTCACCTTTTCTTTTTCACCTTTCGCTTTTTTCTTCCCCCTTCACTCCTTTCACATCCTCCGATCCGCATTCTTTTACGTCTTTTCTCATACTTTTCACATTTGCCACAAATCGTCAAGATGGGCTTCATTGTCGCTCGCTCCGTCGTGGGCTCCATCCGCCTTGCCTCCAAGGCCCCTGTCGTTCGCTCGACTTTGATCAAGCCTGCTGTCTATCGCACGCCGGTGCAGTCGCGCGTCTTTTCCGTCGCCACCCCTCGTCTCACGAAGAAGAGCGAGGTCATCAAGGAGACCGAAGTCCCTGTGTCCATTTACAGCCCTGATAGCAAAGGCACCGCCTCGAGCCCCGACCATTTCAGCATCCCCGTCAAGCCGGCTGCTCAACCCTCCGCTGCGCTCAATGAAGATGTTGAGAACGAGGACGTCGTTCCCCTCGATCCCAAGGTCTACAAGGCCATGTCCCCCACCATGCAGAAGATGTCCGTCATGGGCAAGGTCATCATCATTACTGGGTAGGTCTTTATGTTTTTGTGTCCCGCTTCGCAGAGCCTGAATGAACGTCCTTCTTTTCAAACGGCCAGTAGCTAACAAGTGTCTAAGTGGTGCCCGTGGCCTCGGCAACCACATGGCGAGAGCCTGTGCTGAGGCTGGTGCCAAGGCTGTCGTGATCTTTGACGCCAACCAGGAACTGGGCGACGAAGCCGCCGAGGAGCTACACCGCAAGTCTGGTATCGACGTCTCGTTCTTCAAGGTCGATGTTCGTGACGGCAGCGCTATTAACGCCGCTGTTGATCAAGTTGTCAACCTCTACGGCGCTCCCGACGTTCTTGTCAACTCTGCCGGTATCGCCGATTCAAACATCAAGGCCGAGACATACGACCCTGCCATGTTCCGTCGCCTGATTGACATCAACCTCACTGGTTCGTTCCTCATGGCCCAGTCCGTTGGCCGCGTCATGATGGCCGCTGGCAAGCCCGGTTCCATCGTTCTGGTTGCCTCCATGTCCGGCAGCATCGTCAACTACCCCCAGGAGCAGTCTTGCTACAACGCGTCCAAGGCTGGTGTCATCCAGCTCGGCAAGTCTCTGGCTGCCGAGTGGGCCAAGTACTCCATCCGCGTCAACTGCATCTCCCCCGGCTACATGGACACTGCCCTCAACAAAGTCCCTGCCCTCGATGCCCAGAAGAAGATCTGGCGTAGCTTGACTCCCCAGGATCGCCTCGGCGCTGTTGATGACCTCAACGGCCTCTGTGTCTTCCTAGCCTCGGACGCCAGTTCGTTCATGACTGGCTCCAACGTCCTGATTGACGGTGGCTACACTCTCTACTAGACCAGGCACATGCGTGTCTACTAGTAGATGATGATTTTCGATGATACCCAACGATTATGATTATTTACTTTCCGATTTGTGCCATTTGATTATCATTTGGACAACCCAATGCTCGCTTCTCTCTGGCTTAATGTGGATGGTGAAAGAGAGGGTAGTGGGATACTGGGCGACATGATCTCTTCTCATATTGAAGACTATCGGTTCTTTTCTTCGGATTTGTGTCTTTGCACCCAATCAACTCAGGAGTACGCAAGGGCGGAACGGCAAAGAGTGTTTGCAAAAAGGTGTTTGCTTTTTTTTCTTCTTTCGTTTTTGCTTTATTTATGAAGCTGCAAAAGGGGAGTTCTACAAGGTTTTCGGCATTTCATACGGCTTTCCGACATAGAATAGCGATTTGTTGTGTTTACGTGCACGTTGATCACAAGGGAGTTCGTCCTTTTTTTTTCAAAAGAATAGAATTGGATGACAACATCCACCTTCAAAAATACACACCTTTTTCAATTTAATACCTGCTGTCAATAATAAGACATCAATTTTACGTCGCAAACCAAATAAAAATTCCCAAATTGTAAACAAACACCAAGGAGACGACGAGGTCACCTGCAAGCTTGTCTTGACCTTCAACCTGATGAGCAAGTCAACAAGGTGGCACAGACGTAATATTACCGTTGTGTCTTAAGTCAAAACAGTCACAATCATCAAGAAGAAAGATAGTAGGAACAAGACCATAAAATAGGTAGAATAGATTCAGATTTATTCGGCCTCCCCAGATCGTAAACACAGGGAGCCAGTAGCTGAGAACATAGGAAAAATCCAGGCAAGGAATAAACTGCCGGAAGATGAAACTGAAAAAAAAAAAAATAGAAATAAAACGAGCAGCTTATAATAACCTGTGCTGCATATGTCCATCGATGCCTCCTTCCCCGGGGCGTACTGTCGGCGTCTAAAGAATTCAGAAGTTTCGTGTGTTCGGCGTGAATTGCGAATGAAGGAGTTGTTGGTTGACGCGTGAATTGTGTATGGTATGTATATATGGTTTGGTGTTCTCGTCATGTCCACGTTTTGCTTTCATGGTGGCGACCCGACTTCCCCGCATGGGCACATTAGTCGCACAGTCCTGGGATGTTATTTTGAGTTTTTTTTTTGGCCGTTGTCTTGTTGCGTGGTTGGTGGTATATCTTTTTCAAAACAAAGTCTTGGTTTCACGTCACTTTTTATTATTTATTTTGCCTGGTCTTCTCCTTTCCTGTGGATGACCATTGTTCATTGCCCCTTCCGAGCCTTCTCCTGGGCTTTCGCTTCACGGGCGGCACGAACCAGCGGCGACAACTGCGATAAGTCCACACATAGCTTCATAAAATCATGCTGGAGGAATGTTAGCATCGGTCAGACTCGGTAGAAACAATGGGTAGCGAGCGCGAGAGTCGGGAGAGCCTATATTTCACATACCCTTAACAGGTCATGGGCGCTTGCCCGCTTGTCAGGCTCCACCTTGAGGGCAAAGTAGAGGAAGTCGCGGAAGACCTCGGACAGATTGTGCTCCTCCTTGATGACAGGCGTGCCGTTTGTGGCGATTAGCCAGAGAGCGCGCAGCGGCGATTCCGTCAGGTAGGGCGGCTCGCCCTCGATCATCTCAATGGCCATAATACCGAGAGACCAGATGTCGACCTTGCGGCCGTACTCCTTACGCATGACCACCTCAGGAGCCATCCAGTAAGGCGTACCGACCATAGTAGTCCGCTTGTTTTGGGCTTCGTTGATAGTCGCGCAAAAGCCGAAATCAGCTGCAAACGGTTAGTTTGTGAGTCCAGAAACAGTACCTTTTTTTTTAAAAAAAAAAAATGAAGAAAATCAAGGACGTGGTAACATACTGAGCTTGATGTTGCCTTCCATAGACAGTAGGATGTTGTCCGACTTGATGTCACGGTGGATGACACCCTTGGAGTGCAGATGCTGTAAACCCTTTAGAGTTTCGCGGCAGACGGACGCAATCTGGCCTTCCGTCATGATGTTGTACGTGACAACATCAGTCAAGCTGCCGCCTTCCATGAACTCCATGATGACCCACAGCTCGCCCTCCCACAGGTAACTGTCAATGAAGTTGACAATGTTCGGGTGGGAGCTGTCTTTCATGACCAGGATCTCGTTGATGATCAGGTCCTTCTTTGGCTGCTGCTCCAGGTTCATCTGCTTAATGGCAACCAACCGGTTGCTGCCCCGCTCAAAGCCCGTGTAGACACCACCCGAGGCACCCTGGCCAATCTTGTTGAAGCCACGGTACATACGGTGCGGGTCGCCGTCGGAGCAGATTTGCCGGAGGCGCGCAGAGATATCGATACCAGTAGCGGTGTTCGTACGTGGTCGCTGGCGCGGCCGGGCCTGGGACTGCAACTGCTGGAGCTGCTGCTGCTGCTGTGTGGTCGTCGCTGCTGCCGGATACGGTTGGGCCTGTGGTGAGCGCCCAGCGCCATTGATGTCGGGCGAGCGAGCAAACTGGTGGTGCTGGGACTGCGGCGGTGTGGGCTGCTGTTGCTGTATTGGTTTGTGCTGCTGCTGGCGTGTGCTGGTCGTCCGTCCCAGCTGTCCAGTCATAGCGGCCTGCGCCTGCGCAATGGCCTGGTCCTGCTGTTGCTGGAGGAGCTGCTGCTGGTACGCAGCGGCTTGGGCGGCCGCGTTCGCCTGCTGTGCACTGCTCACGCCGCCAGCCCCTGGCGGCTGGTACGGCGCTGTGACACGCGAGTTCGACCGAGAGCGGTGTTCTTCGGGAAGCATGGGGACGTTGTCTTTCGGCGGAGGTGCAATCGGCGGTTGGCCCGTTCCATCGTCTTGCTGATGGTTCATACCAATGCCCGAGTCCTTGGTGGGCGGGAATGGTGCCTGGGGCGCGGTGCGAGACGGCAGGCTTACAGGTGGCCGGGGTGCGGGTCGGCTGGGCATCAGGTTGATATCCTTCAGGCCAGACGAGCCCGGGCCTTTGGGTACGGGTGGTGGCGAACGGGGGTTCACAAAGCTGCCTTCGTAGTTGACGAGCGGGAAGCGAGGACTCGTGGGCGGGCTCATGAGCGGTGACATGGGGTTGAATGCTCCGGGAACACCACCTGCCGGGACGTTGGGGGACGGAGCCGTCAAAGACGTTGACGAGTTTGCTTGTGGAGGCATACCAGGGCGGGCATCGTGAAACTTTTCCAACACCTGGTCCTCCTGTGGCTTCTCCGTCGTCTCCTTGTAGAACGTGATGACCTGCATGAGGGCTTCTGGATTTTGCGTGCGCTCCTTTTCTGTGATGCCACTCTCATTAATCAGTCGCTGCCATTCCTTTGGCAGGCCCTACTCTTGTGTGTTAGCTAACCTTAACGTGGGAGGGGGGGGGGGTGGAGGGGTTACTCAAAAACCCTGTTTGCAAACTTGCCGTAAACTGTCCCGTATTGCTGTCGTAGCCGACATGCGTGACGTGAACGGGGTTCTCCGGTGCAGAAATCAGCGGCTTCTTTGGTGAGCCGACCAAGCTGGTCATGAAGCCTGAGAAGCCCGACTTTTTGCGCAACATGCTCGGTCCCCTGAGCTCTCTGCCTTCGTCGGAGTAACGCTTCGTGCCTGGGAGCTGCGAGTCGGCGCTAGAGCCTCCAGAAGGCCAGGTCGGCCCAGACTGTGCTGACGGGGTCTTCTCGCTCAACTCGTTTGAAGGCGTGGGAGACGCAGCGGCTGTAACGGGTGCCGATGCGGCGGTCGTTGTCGAAATCGCGGCGACAGCGGGATTGCTGGTATTGGCGGCATTGGCAGCACTGGCGGCACCGGCGGATGGCGTTGAGCCGCCTGGCACGCTCGTGGGGAAGCCCGAGGCCTGCATCGTGGTGTTGGCGGCGGTTGGCGGTACCGGGGCGTTCCGCGAGGGCTGAAATGACTGTTGTGGGGGAAGATTTGAGGACAAAGACGAAGAGTTCGGGGCAGGTGTGGGTGTCGTAGTCTCTTCGATGCGGTTCAAGATGGCGGCGCCGTCAAAGGGTGCGCCGACAAAGTCCTCGGAGGCCGAAGTGAGAGCGCTACCGTTTGACGGCGAGCGGACAACGGCGTCGGGGATGGCGCTGTGATTCATACGATTGGAGGGCGCGGATGCAGCAGCAGAGGCAGCGGCCGCAATCGAAGCGTTGTATGGGTACGGGTAAGAAGGATGAGGAGGAGAATACAGTTGCTGCTGCTGCTGCTGCTGCTGCTGCTGCTGCTGCTGCTGCTGCTGATGTTGCTGCGTCTTCTGATGCTGATATTGCTGGTAGTCGGCCGTGAGGAACTCGCCGCCAGGTAGGTTGGGTGAGGGGTTTGAGAGCGACGGGGTGCCTGCAGAGGGCAGATGGCGCGGCGAAGAGGACGTGGACGAGGACGCGTAGGCCGAGAAAGACGTGCGGGTTTGGGGAGCGCTCGGAGCGCGCCTCAAACTCGTGGAGCTGCCTTTGCTCTGCAGAGACTGGGTGTCGATTGTGCGACCATCGAAGCTCGTCGACGAAGAGTGTTGGTATGACGAGGGCGGAGGCTTTTTGGTGAGTCGGCGACGATTCTGCTGCTGCTGTTGCTGCTGCTGTTGTTGTTGTTGCTTCTTTTGTTGTTGGTGGGAAGTGCCGAGGGAAGAAAGAATATTCAGGCTTTGGCCGCCACCGTCCATGGTACTACACCTCTCAGGTGGAGCAGGCTAAGAGGGAAGGGGAAGAATGGGGGGGGGTCACAGAAGGGGGGGGGGGAGGGTTGAGAGACGGTGGAGATGGGCGAGAAGAGGAGGGAAATGGAGTGGTTCTGGCGGGGAAGAACCAGAAAGTACACGGCAATGGGCGGGTCAAGCACGCATACAGCAAGTACCAAAGGCGAGCGAGACGAGCGAGACGGACGGAAGACCAAGGGAAAGGGGCCCTGGGGAGCAGCGACGGACGAGACAGAGGTGGGAAGCGTGGTATGGCAAATGAAGGCGTGCGATTGGCCGACAAGCGTGGAAAAAGACGAAAATGAGTGGGAAGAGGAGAGTGGGAAGAGTGGAAATAGTGGGACAGGTGGGCAAAAAGGTGGGCGTGTGAAAAATTTGGACGGGTCGTCGCTGTCTGGCGCAGTGCAGCTGTCCAGGCCCTTGCAGGCTTTTGTTGGTGCTTTTGGGGTGTGCTGTCGCCCCTTGGATCGCCCGTCTTGGGTCCCCTTGGTCGATTTTGGCCCTGGATGCGAGACAAAAACTGACAATCGAAATAAAGGGTAACTGTGGGGTCGACCGGGAACGGAGAGGCGTGAGAGGCGCGAGAGGCGTGGATGGCAACAGCTAGTCGCGACGGACGGACGGTAGCGTCTGAGCGAGAGATGCGGTTGCAGACGGCGTGGAAACTTGTGAAGCTGCGACGTCTGTCCTTTCGCAGTGCGTGCTGCAGATGTTTAGCCTTTATTCTCTTTTTTTTTTCCTTTCGTTTCTCCGGTTTTATTTTTTTGTTGCAACTTCTTTGGCGTGTCCGAATGGGTGGTGCTGTTTTAGGTCAGTGGAGGAGGGGCGAGTGGAGAGCGAATGGAGAACGGGGAACAGAGGACGCAGAATGGTGGAATGACGGCGTGACGAAGGACGGGTGACGGATGCACGAATACCAGATGTCGATGAGGGTGTGTTGTTGATTTTTTTTGGTTCGCGTCGGAGGATGCAGGAAAGGGGGGGATTGGGAGAAAGAGGGCGGCAATAAAGAAGGAGAGAGCATGAAGAGGAGAGGGGGGCCAAGAACGGGGGATATATTGGACACTGGGAGCAGGGCAGTCGCGACCCGATCGATGGTCGACACGGAAGCAACGACGGGCAGAAAACGTCAGGAAGAAGGAAGGAGGTGGTAATCGAGGGCCAGTTGGGCTTGCTGGCAGCAACATCCAAAGGCGCCAAAAGGAAGGAAGCGATGGCGGCCTGGAAAGTGGCAGCCAAGTTGCAAAGTGCAGTCGCAGCGCAGCGTGCAGAATGCGCCTGCTCCGTTGCGTAACGGTAGACGTGTATGTTGCAGTGGAGACGACCTTTGAAGAGCAAGTACCCGCGCGCAGTCGGCGGCAGGAAGGAGTACTTTGCGCCTGCACGTTCACGTCCACGTTCACGTTCACACTCACACTCACACTCACCTCTCACTTCGCATTTACACGGACGGTCCGTAACCCAGGAGCGGCAGACGCTGGACGAGGACGGCGGTCTCTTTCGTCTTTTGTGCCGTTTGTTTGCAGTGCGACGATTCGTGATTCGGCGTCGGCCAAGCGCGGATGGTGGTAAGACAGCGTTCGACGGCGTTGGGTTCGTGTGCTGATCGTCGTCTGTGGGCCGTTTGGTGTTGCCCGTTTCGTCGTTGTTGCCTCCGGGAGACGAAAGCGCGAAGAAACACGGAAGGTGCGAGATCGTCGAGCGGGGAGGGAGACAGGGGAAGGCGGCAGGAGCTGGCGAAGACAGAAGATGATGAAGGAAGGAACGAACGGGCACGATAGTACCAAAGAAGGTGAAATTTTGGATGCAGAAGAGGACGCAGATTTGAATGCCCCCTACGACGTCAGGCAGGAAAAGATAGGACCAGGGGAAACCGAACATGCGAGCATGGCCAGGGTCTCTCTGGGTGCTTGGCCTGCCCCCTCGTCTATGAATGCTCCGTGTTCATAGTAGCTCCGCGGCAATGGGCGTCAGCAAGCAAGGCCTGGCCTTGTCGCAATTGAGCAGAACAGGAAACAGCTGGGTAGCGGGACAGCTTGGACGCACCTTCCCAAGATTAAGATACCTAGAACGCTGTCGCGTTCCGCGATTTTCGTCTCCTTGGGTGCGCGTTGTCTTGACTCTCTTTCAATCAACTACGACATGGCACAGTCCGGGGTCGTTTGACGGCGCTGGGGACGGGACGATTGGCCCTTGGTTCGAGATACTGTGGTTGCGCTTTTGTCCAGGAAACATTTGTTGGCTCTGCCGCGATCGTCCCTGCACGTGGTCGTCATCTACGAATTGCCGTCTCTTGCGACCTCACAAAGTATTTGCTTTGGCTCTCTCTGTCTGGCCACTTTTCCTGCACCGCTCTTCCCTTCATCATGTTCGTCCGGTGTCCGGGCGGTGTGGCAGCACGAGAAGCACATGTTGAGCGTCACACGCGCAGTCTCAGCGGTTACAGCAGCGCGGTGTTGGCCCCATACCACACGGCGGTCGTTGTATCGTGCGCTCGATGTGCTGTTCGATGTGCCGTTCGGTGTGCTCCGTTCGGGGCCCAGGAGTACATGCAACAACGTCCAAACACCTCTCCAAAGACGGCGAGCCATGCGACGTACACCCTATGGCGTACAAGAACTCGGATCGCAGCTTTGAAGACCACAAGACAGGCTACAATACAATTCGACTTTCCCCAATTCACCAAGCTCTTTCACATTAAGACGCAGATTTGATGAGGTGCAATAGCTTTGCAAACACGCCAGTGGTACGCTCCTGTTTCCAGCCCCAGAGCAACAGGCCCTGTGTTTCACCAGTGGCCGGTTTTTGTTCTCGACGGTCGGTAGAAACGGACGAAACACAGCTTGGCGCGGCAACAACTGAAAAGACCCTTGGGGGCCAGTATTTCGCGAATGCCTGCAATTCTGTGTTTTCTGCGCTGTGATGATGAACAACAGTGAATGGAGCGACCGTTGAAAAGCACAGATGGCCGTGCATAAGCACAGTGGATACAGTCGGCGCGCTTCCTCCACACGCCAGCCACGACTTACACGCGGCGGCGCGAGTCAAGCGTCCTGTCCCCACGATCTGCAGCAAAGTCCCCAGAAGACGCAGAGCCAACGGCAAGCAGGCTTCTGACGTGGACGGAGACCTACAACGCACAGCATATCTCCAGATAGTTTTCAACCTCGCAGCTTCCACGACGAGCTGACGACAGAAAATGACTGCATGCAAGATACACCTACCACATACGCCGAATGTCCGCACGGCAAAGGAACAGCTGTGGCGTGTGGTGACGCGCGTGTGTGGCGTGCGTCTGAGCTCTGAGTAGGTTCTTGATCTGTCGCCCCTAGTGCCTGCTTCTGCAGTCCGTTGGGCTTTGCAGGCGCGTCACGCATTTTCCTGTTCGGGATTGGCCCAACCCGTTTCTTCGAGCTTCGTCCCCTGTCAATCCAGCCTGGTAGCTCTGTGCTGGCAGTTGCCATGTCGTGTTATTGTGGCGCAGGCGAGACGAGAATTTCGGGAGAGAAGTACGGCGCGGTGAAAAACGAACACTTACGAATAGTGCTGCACGAGGAGACGAGGAGACGAGGAGACGGGCCGGCAAAAGCCCAAGGAAAGAGGCTTAGAGGGACGCAGAAAACCAGAAACGAGCCCATGACGATCGCTTCCCAACGAGTTTATTGCTCCGTAGTCCGACAACGTATATTTACTAAAAGAGGGAACAGATACGAAAGGTTCTAGGTCTTGTTGTCGATGCAGGCTCCCAAGCTGTCCAGAGGCGCCTTGGTGCCTTGGAATGACAAGTTGGCAAAATGATGCATCAACGGGGACCGCCTGCGCCATTGTTCTATAATTATCCTTGTGGAGGCAAAATGACCAAGCATTTGGGCCACAAAGCGAACAGCGTCGGGCAGGCACGCAGTCAGACAGTCTCGCTGCGAAAGGCAACAGCGAGGGCAGCGGTCGCAATTGGCCGTTTTCTCACTGGCCCAGCATCAAGGCACAAGTTGGCACGCAGGCTGCCGACCGTGGCACAATATCTTCCAACATACTTCAGGTTCCATCGTAGATTCGTATCTTATGCGGTCGCTACTACAAGTGACTACTGCGTAGTTGCCATCTTTCTGACAAAGAATACGCCACGTAAAATCTCAGCGGCAGGCACTGGAAACCCCCCGGACTAGTTTGTTTAGCGACCTTTATCGTTGTTTTAGGGCCTGAGATTCATCATGGCTCTCCCAGCCCGCACCACTAGACACTCTGCCTGCACTCTTAACCCTCACTACCGTCAACTCACCACTGGCTGCGGAACTCCTCTCTTATTTGTTTTATCTTTTTATTTAGTGATTTTAGCAGTCTTTCGTCGGCGACTGGGTCTTTCCCCACAGTTTGTCAAAAGCGACCGATCCAGCACCGTCGAGCGTACGAGTGTAGCAGCTTCCGCTTTCAGATCGATCGCACAGAAAGAAGAAAGAACGATAGGCGAATGCTGGTGGACGATAACGGAGGGCAAGTGCAACGGCGCGATGCCACGCGCAAGTGCGACGGCGTATTGTCCGTTTTTGTCTCTAGCGTCCATGGCCTCTGGTTCGAGCGGGCGGGACTTGGGTTGCTGTGTCCCTGGAACGGCATTGACAGTTACAGCACTGGTATGCGCCTTCCCACAACAAGATACGATTCGTACTACAGGACGGAATCAGGAAGGACGGGCCACTGCTCGTTTATATCTGGCAGGCACCGCAAAGAGCAGATGGAGCCTTCCGTGTTTGTGCAATATACTTTGCAGTCCTGAATCTTCAGCAACTACGGAGCACATAGTATTTCATCTGTGAGATATTTCCAAGAGGCATTTTGACACAATTTGGGCGCAGTTGCAACCTGCAACCAACCAGCAATCGATCCACCCGAAGCTGTAGAGCATTGCGATTGCGTCTTTTATCAACTCGACTGCAGACCGTCCTATAGCCGCCAAACCAAAACGGGCATCGGTTGTATTCCGTTTGTCGCCCATAGTAATTCGTACAGAGAACATAATACGGTCTAGTGAAAACGCTCCATCACCAGACTTGTTCCTTCACTCACGAGCAAGGCCTGGACTGTCGTGTTTTTCTAGGGCAGTCCGAAGCGCAGTTGCTCTCGACGCTAATTCGCAGTACGTCGAACGTTCATCGACGGCTTCTCTGTTGACTTTCTAGTCCGCTTCTGTGCGGCCAAAATTCAACATTGACATATGTTTTCTCGGTACTTTTGTGCAAAAGGACACAAAACGACAGGCAGCAGTACTGTACGGTGGCGGCTACGTCGAATATCTTCGACAATAGGCAACTTGTCAACCGGTTGGGGGCGGTGCTCTCGAAACACCATCAGCCGATTACTTCATACTGCTTGCACTTTGCACAGAATGTTCATCAGCCTGGGAGACGCTACGAGGACCGCAGCCGTCGATTCCTGCTTTCGCTGCCCTTTTTGTTACTGTGCCGGTTTGTATCGTCTTGTCCACCTGCGAACCTAGCCTAGGCCACTTTGGCCGGGCCTATTGATGACTGTGGCAGCCTTGAACCCGCAACGTATCGCATCACGGCAGGTTTCCAGGTCGCCAAGGCGCCACAATACTGGCAGCATGCATGCTCACGTCTCTCACTTGCTGCCCACAGACACGTACGGCCCCATCTTCCAGTCAGCTCTTGACGACCCTTGGATGGCCTGCCGGCATGGCAACAGTGCAAGTGGTAGGGCACATCCAAATAGGCGATCCTGTCATCCGGGATCCGCTTCAGCGCTGCGCCCATAGTAGTTATATAGGCATATACTGGATATATTGCTATATACTATCCGCTGCAAGCCTTGCCCTTGAATTCCGTCGCTAGTGTTTGTTGATTCTTGCTCGTTGCTGTTTATGTCAAGGTAAGACCTGGGAGAGAACCAGATATCCCATCGGAACCCTGAAAGGGGAGGTAGGGCATCCAATGTCAAAATCCAGGCCACGGCATGACAGCCGAAATCATGCACCACCACAGTTTCTACAAGCTCTGTTCCTTTCACAACCTTAGATTCTATGCTCTCCCTAGGATTCGATGCCTTCCGTATCTTGGATGACGAACATCTCTGTAGCAACTGGTCTACCTGTACTCCGTAGCTCTGCTTGGCATTATTGAGGTTTATGAAGGCGCCGAAAATGTCATAATTTGTAAACGTCGGAATCTGAACATTGTACGCTGTAAGGCAGCAGAATAAGCAGCCTATAAAATACACTTTCTTCTGTCTTATAGACAACCTCGCCGCCAATCGTCCTAGCCCTTCCATCACTTACCGGCTTCTCATCGTATTTGCCTCTCGCTTTCTCGTTTATTGTTTATTAAGCGGCGCCTCCATTATCCTTCGTTACTTGCCTCGTCGAAAGCGTCGCTTCCTACTTCCTCATTATCCTTCTTTTACCCACCCTAAGCTGAGTTACTGGCGCGAAGGTCCTTCGTCAACAATGACGGCCACAGCGAGCAGCCGCCTCCTAGATAAATCCACAACACCCTAGGCCAGAGCTCAAGCTAGAGACGACCAAGGCCGAGGAGCACGAGGGCGCACATGCACCAGTTGCTAGCTGGCGGGCGTCGGCATTCCCGTGGTCCGGTGGTTCGGCACGGACGGCGAGCACAATGCCATGGTGCTTGACCACCTGGGTCCGGGACCCCAGAGTCCAATGACCTCAAGAGAGAGCCACAGCATGTGTTGATGTGCTGAACCTTGTCCGTCGTCATGTTCTGCCATGTTGTCCCTCGGATGAGTGGCTTCTTTTATGGTTACGTCTCTGCCTACCCGACGCAGTCAAAGTTCCTTACGATAATTCTTTGCCATAATTTTCATCGTACCAGAAAGGAGGGTAAAGGTGTAAGAAAAGAAGGAATCGAGACAGTGGTTGGGTGAAGTTGTATACGTATAAACATAAATTTACGACGGATTTACGGCTGGTTGAAGGCCACGTGAATATGAGACCCACAAAAAATGGTCCTACTAGCCCCGGCTTCTTCCAGCCTTGTGCTCGCCCAGCATCCAGGACTAGTCTAATAAGCGCCTGTCACAGAAACTGACATGATGGGGCCCCCATATACTACACGCCAAAGGCCACGCTCCTGCGCTCATGACAACCACGCGCACAGCTCGACAAGACCATGGAGCTCGAAGACGAAGAAGAATAAAAGGTCAAGAAGATTCTCGATCACCACAGAGAAGAACCACGAACAGAGTACCTTGCAATGTGGAAGGGCTGTAGCAACGACGAAAGGACGTGGAAAACAACTCCGTAACCTGACCAACACGCAGGATGCCGCCATATCACCACCATTTAACACAGAAGCCCCGACGCGGTGCGCGGCGTCAATCCTACCATCGTATTAGACGATGAAGCGAACGACCCTGCACGACCGGAATCACGGAGAATCAACCATAGGCACTCGGCCCTGCTGCCTGAAAATCCGTCGCGCCCAACAGACACCGCACCAAAACAAAACCGCGACAACGAGGCGTCGTATACAAGACCCATTCAGTCGACCACCCCGACACCCAGCCTTCTCCTCTTCCACTCTTTACCATGGACAAGAAACAAACCTCCCAGGAGCTCTTGCAAAGAGAGCAAGTTCCTGCAAGCCCACCGTCACGAAAAAGACAGATCGACAGCGACAGTGACGACGAAACTCCGGTAAAACGAACACGACTGACGCGGGAGAACTTGGTCCTGTTCGACAAAATGGGCCAGAGGAAGAACAAGAAGTCAGACCCCTCGGACGACCCAAATTCAACCAAAACCACGTCAACAACGACATCTGGGTTTGCCGACAAGGCTTACAAGAATGGAATCCTCGAACCAGCATACTCAAGCCACCCACGAACCTCGACGATATTCGTAAACGACATGCGGCGTCCCGCGTTACTGCTTCGCCTCCGGAGTCAGTTTACGAGGGCTATGTCAACCGAGTGGAGGGGGCCGGTAACGAAATAACCATGGTCATTGAGACCAGCGGCAAGCTGCTGAAGGGGTATGATGACAAAGGGTACAGCCGAGCCTTCAACCGATTGTTTACAAAGGCCCCGGCAAACGCCGGGTACAACGACGGCTTGTCGGCCCCGCAGCCCGACTTCGTAGAGGGCCTCGAGAAACAAGAGTTCCGCCCGTTCCAGGCCGCCGACTATATCCCTGGAGCCACTCTTTATAAGGACGACCCCCGTTCCATAACCCTACCGATGATTGCTGGAGAATGGAAGGGCCCTGCTGGGGACATGAGAGAAACGAGAGTGCAGAGTGCCTACGACGGAGCAGCTCTTGTCCACGCAAGAAACCAAGCACTCGCCTACATGGGAGGGTCTGATCCCCCAGGCCACGCAGAAGTCACAACATTCACCGCAGACGGCACCAATCTCAACCTGTACGCTGATTTCGCGACCCCGTCAGAAGGAGACAAAGACGCACTCGAGTACCACCAATATCCCATCTCGTCAATAAATCTCACAGGCACTTTTCAAGCTCACAAGGACGGACGGAGACGTCTCAGGAACGCCCAAGACTATGCGAAGACTCAGTCCGAAGAACTAAGAGACCAGCTGAAAAAAATATTGGAAACAGCAACGCGACATCCTCCAGACCATTGCTGCACCACTGCCTCCACCGAGCGACGAACCCCCAATCCCGACGGACACCTACGACACGACAGCCCCTGGCGAAGCATACGAAGACGACGGGTACGAAATACTCGAACAGCCTTGGCAGCCAACACACGCAGCTTCTACTGGGCCCCACAAGTCAGGATCGCACTCACAGTCTTCCTCGAAACCATCAAAGTTGCACTCCACAAAATCGAGTCACAGCCACAACAGCGAAGGCAAACGAAAGTCTCCGTCCTCACAATCATCCCATGGATCTTCCGGGCACGTCAGCAAGCACAGAAGCTACTAGAAGAAGGACCCTGCGACGGGGCGGTATTCCCACAGGCATTCGGATGGCACCGTCTCTTGGCTGGACGAGGAGGAGGGAGACAAGCTTGACTAGTACGGTCTCTAGGACATCGAGTATGACGGAGGGGAAACCTGTTGCAACCGTTTACTATTGCTGCGGATATATATTTACTAATAACTCTTTATATATGTACTTGTATTTGTCCCCCGTGACGCTCTTGCCTGTGTCTCCTAACTTGCCATCTCCCCCTCGCAGCCCGCTTCCAGCAGCCACACAATTGTCGCTCATCGTCATACTTTGATCTCCTTGTACGTCGCCGCTCCACGGTTATAAGAGTCTTCGAAAGAACGACAACCTTACGGAAGTTATTGTTCTTCGTCTCATGTCATTCCTTTCTCTTCCCAGTTTCCATGTTATGGAATAGGCAAGAGTAAGACTTATGTACGCTAGTTCATTATGCGTGTGCTATTGCTTAGACAGTAGATAAGTCATGCAGTATATTGTCATGTTTACTAAAACAAAAATATAAAATACGAAAGTGTGGCATACACATGACATCGTTACCCTTCCCACGTGTCTGTGCTGTTCTCTTTCGATGAATTTGTGACTTGCTCGACCACGTTTGAGCGGATAGAACAAGGGCAGCTCCGTTCGTCTGGCCACACGTCTGCCGGTTGTTAAAATAGATGGTGGCGTTTTCGCCTCCATGTGTGAGATAGAATACCCAGCGTTGCGAGTAAAGTGCAGTGGTGATGTCTACGCCCGGTTTCTGGAGTGAAACGCAGCAGAGAGAGGGAGAGACAAATGTCTAGTCGGTGCTCTTCGAAAGACGAGCTTTGAGATGATTTTGTAGTTGTGGTGCCTCGGAATTCACGATTATCTCTTTTAATTTATTTTATTTATTTAAAAATGTACAACTTCTATTAAAAATAAAATCGCGGAGTGCGGAATGTCCTTGAGACTTAACTGATGCGTACTTGCTATTCTGCACAACATGAAACTCGTGTGGCAAGGCTGGCTCCCATTGTACGTCGTATGCCCGAAGGACTCGGGCGGCCAGGCCGAGTTCGTGTTTGTTTGAGGCGCTTGGGTCGGGTACTGGTACTTGTCAGAGACCGTGGCCGGAAACACGAGAAATTGGCGTGGACGTCAACATTGCCGGAACTTGGCGCTTGGAGACCAAGAGGCACTATCGCTGATGCACTGGGCACTTGAGCACTCGTGAAAGGCTGTGGCAGGGATTGTCAAAGCTTCAAAGATCGGCAGAGCGCCAACAGGGATGAGCTTTCGTGATACGCTCGCCGCACATCAAGCAGCCTTTCGGCGGCGTTCTAGGGGTCTTCCTTTGAATTGCAGGGCGCAACGAATGCCATTTGTTTCGGATTACCGAATTGCGGCCTGTTCCGCCGTTCTTTCCCAATGACCGTTCCGCCGGTCACAAATTGCCAGAGAAAGCACTCCGAGTTGGTCTGACTTTCCGTTTTGTAAGGGAATTGAAGACTTGGGCAGCTCCTTCCCTTGGTTGGGCTCCTGTTGGGACGCGGAAGGAGCCACAGAGTCGACCTGGAGAAAGACCAACCGACTTCCTACTTGGATGATTCAGCACTGTGAGCAATGTGGGCGCCGGCTATTAGTACTCGGTCCAGGTCATACTTCCTGTGCGTTTCAGTAAAGCGGAACGAAAACTCAAAGCTGGCTTTCCTTTCTGTCGATATTCCCAAGGTCTTCCTGACCCTGTCTGCTGTCTTGGATTCACCAATCAGATTGCGTCATTGTGCGCTTCTGTGTTGTCCTCCTGTTCCCCCTTGACCTGTCCTTCGCTGCTTCCTCTTCTTCAACATCCACCGCACCATGCACTCCGCTGCTTCCCCCTTCTTTCTGCTTCTGAAGCTGCCCCGCGGCAGGTGCGTCTCCATTTCCACGCTATTGCAAAATTGCCCGTCGAAATAGCGCATTTTTTCTGTTGCTTTCGCTGTTCTGTCCTCTGCACCTTCCTGTCCCAACATGTCTTTCCCTGCTCGCACTGCGGGCCCCGATTGTCCCTTCCTCTGCTTGCTGATTGCGCGATGGTCTGCTTCTCCTGAAATGCCCCGTAAACGTAAGGAGACAAGGCCATTGGCCGGTTGCCCTCCGCAACTGCGCAAGACGTAGCTTCTTCTTGCGGACAGCTTGTCCTGTCCCACGGTGGACCGCGAGGCAATGTGGGGCCCCCTTTGCACCTTCCCCCGACTGAAGGTGGTCTCCTCTGGCAGCAGGCACCGTTCATCGTAGTCCAAGGACGGCGTCCTCAATTCCCCATCCCCCATTTCCTCTCTCCTTCTCTCCATCCACAACATCACCACCGTCACCGCCTACCGCCATCCTTACACACGCACCGTCTCGTACGAGCACAAAGCTATCACCGAGGGGCTACCTGCCCGTTCTATTGTTCACTGTACGTTGAATTGAGTCGTCTGCAATTCCTGCGGAACGATCTGGTCGCCCCGCCCCACATTGTTCTCCTTGCGAAGACATGTGCGTTCGCCTCATTTGCCTCCTCATTGTGTCGCTTTGCCCGGCAGAGCTTTGCTCCTCACATGGCCTGCGCAAGTGGCATGGCTCTTAGGTTTAGGACTTAGTGGCCAGACGTGTGTTGCTGACGAGTACCGCATCCAATGCCATGTATCCTATACATCGCTGGCGCGGCTTCCTTTTTTTTTTTTTTTTTTCTGGTCTTCTCCTTATTTTGGCTTTTCTATTCTAACCATTCATTTCCCCAAACAGAGTTTTTTGTCATCTCCAACATCCACCTGCTCTGTTCGGTTGTCTCGACGCCTCGGCCCCCCATCTCTCTCCGGTAAACGACTCTGCGCCTGGTTAACGAAAAATGGCCTCCGGTTCCCCGTCCACTGCCGATTCCGGCAACGCTTCCTCTGCGGCTCAGCGCCTGCTTCAAGAGCACGGCAGCCACCATGTGACCATTGAGACCGTCCCCGATGAGGAGGACCTCAAGCACGACGCTGTTCTCCGTCGCGAGGCAGCTGAGGCGGCCTCGTCTGGTCCTGCCCCGGCTGATGCCCCGGCTGATGCCCCGGCTTCGTCTTGGGCGGCTACGCCGTCTGCCAAAGCCGCTGGCAAGCAGAAGGCGCCCGAGCCCACGCCTGCCTCCAAGCTGGACACCCACTCGCATGAGCTGTTCCCCGAGCTGGGCGCGCCCAAGAAGGCTGCCGCCAACGTTGCTCCCATCTGGAACGCAAAGACCGGCGGTGCTGCCAACGGCGCGAACGGGTCATCGCAGCCCTTGTCCAACAGCAGCAGTGCTCCGGCTGCTGCCACGTCCCGCTCGACCGCCCCTCCGACTGTAAACATCCCCGGCCGCAACGTCTCGAGTGTCACTCTCGAGGACCACCAGCTTCTGCCCCGTGGTTCCCTAAAGCGCCCCATTCCCGACGTTATCAAGGACATCAACCGCAAGTCGCGCGCCAACATCACCATGCTGCCGCCCACCGGTAACCGGAGGCAGTTCAACGCGACGGGCCCGCCGGAGGTTGCCCAGCAGGCCCTGCGGGACCTTGTCCAACAGATTGGTGCCAAGGTGAGACTTTCCCCGCCCCATCTCGTTTGATTGTCACGCAAACAATGTAAGAAGGGTGCTCGGACCATTTTCTTTGGTGCGTGCGGATCTTTTTTCTGCTACTCGTTACACATTGTCTGCGGCCGTTGCCGACGGCCAACAGCTTTGCTGTATTTATGCATTGCCCCTTGTTTGGTTCGCTCAATCTTGGCTGCTTGAGACTAACTCTCTTCTCTCTCTTTTTCTACAGGTCACAGTCAACGTGCCGATTCCCCAGTCTGTGAGACCCCACATCATTGGCAAGCAAGGCTCGACCATCAAGTCGCTCCAGGAGAAGACGGGCGCAAGAATCCAGTTGCCCAAGGCCGATGAGGTTGCGGCTGCCTACGAGGAGGACGATGACGCAACGATTGACGTCACCGTGGAGGGTAATGCCCTTTCTGCGCGTGCGGCTCAGGATGCGATCCTGAAGATTGTTGGCGAGCGCTCCGCCAACACGAACACCCGCCTGCGCGGTATTCCTTCCGAGTTCTACCCCTTCATTGCCGACCCCACCTTCGGCCTGCTCTCCAACCTGGAGAACAACGGCGTCCAGATCCGCGTGCCGCCTCTGCAGCCGCGCTCTGCTCAGCCCCCCACGTTGGCTGCTACTGGCCGTCCTGTTTTCACGCCGTCTGCCGACAACCACATCCACCTGGCCGGCGAGCGCAACGCTGTCCTGAACGCCCGCGCTGAAATTGAGAAGGCAGCCGCTGCCCTCCAGCAGCGCCTGCAACTGCAGCAGACCTCCATCCCCCCCGGCCGCCAGCAGTTCATTATTGGTCAACACGGTACGCCAATGGAGGACTTCTTCAACGAGACCGGCTGCGTGGTGATCCTGCCGGAAGATGCCGAAGACGATAACGTCACCATCATCGGTGACGCGGACCGGGTCGAGGCCGGCCTCGAGCGCGCCATTGACCTGGCTATGGGCATGCAGTGCTCCAACTACGACATCTCGCGCTTCCACCGCCAGGCTCCTGGCAGCGCGGCCGCCCATGCGCGCAACGTCACCCGCTACCTGCGGCAGCGGAAGGAGATTGAGCGCCTGGAGCGCGAGTACCAGAGCCACATCAACACGCCCTTCACGAGTGAGGGCGCCCTTCCCTGGGAGCTGTACTCGCGCGACGGCAAGAACGCCTTCCGCGCTCAGACAGAGATCAAGAACATCATCTCCAGCCACCCGCCCAGCCGCATGGCCTCGATCCCTGTCGACCCCTTCTTCCACCAGTTCCTGCGCAATGACGTTCGCCCCCGCGTGCAGCAGGACTACGGTGTCTACCTCGTCGTGCCCGAGGCGTCCGAATCCGACGCACCAGTCCTCCTTGTTTACGAAGGCCCCTCGGACGACTCCACTGGCCCGTACACCCTGCCCCAGACGGTGCCGACGCCGCAGGAGGTTGCGGCCTTCCAGCAGGGCGTCCGTGATGCGCAGAAGCACATTCTCGAGCTTATTGGTGCTCAGGAGGACATTCAGACCACACAGATTGAGGTGCCCCTAAAGTTCCACGAGCGGCTTCGCCGGTTCATCAAGAAGGAGCAAGAGGCCCGTCCTGCCAACCAACCGCCCGTCCGTGTCTCCAGCCTGGGCACAGCCGTGACCCTGCGGGGACCCAAGACCTCCGTGGACGAGCTCCTCCTGAAGATCAACGCCTTTGTGGAGCAGGAGAAGGAGGACGAAAAGGAGCGCGGCTTCACGCTGTCGTTTGACTTCCCCAAGGCTTACGCCAACCATCTCATTGGCAAGGGCGGCAGCAACATTCGTGAGCTGCGCGACAAGTTCGATGTGGAGATCCAGGTCCAGGATGGTCAGGTCGAGCTCAAAGGCCCCAAGGCCAAGGCCGAGGCCGCCCGTGCCCACATCAACTCGGTGGCCCGCCACCTCGCGGACGAGACCACGCACATCCTGAAGATCGAGCCCAAGTTCCACCGTGAGCTGATCGGCGCGCAGGGTAGCACCATCAACCGCCTCCAGACCCGGTACAAGGTCCTGATCTTCTTCCCGCGCGTCGCCAAAGCGGCCCGTGATGACGAGTCGGTCACCGACGCTGCGAGCGACGCTGGCAAGCCCCGCCGCCAGCAGGGCCCCGACGAAGTGATTGTGCGCGGTCCCAAGAAGGGCGCCGATGAGGCTCGTGAGGAGATTATGAAGCTGTACCTGTACCTGAAGGAGACCTCTTTCACTGCCACTATTGAGGTGCAGCAGAAGCAGGTTCCTTACCTGATTGGCCAGGGCGGCTCCGCGATGGAGGCTCTCCGCCAGCAGACCGGCGCGAAGATTGATGTGCCCAACAGCCGCGGCGACCCCGACTCGACAGTGGAGATCCAGCTCAAGGGCACCAAGGAGCAAGTGACGGCTGCCAAGAAGATTCTTCTGGAGAAGAAGGCTGTGCTCGACGACACCATCAGCACGACCATTGATGTCGACAAGAAGTTCCATAAGGCGCTGATTGGTCCTGGAGGTTCGTCTTACCAACTGCATTGCTCATCCATTTTCTACAGTATGCAATGACTAACTTACAACCCCTTGCAAACTAGGCTCTACTATTAAGGACCTCGTCGTCAAGGCGGGCGGCTCCGACGACCGCAGAGAGCTGTCTCGGGCGATCCAGTTCCCCAACCAGGACAGCAACGACTCTGCGATCAAGATCGAGGGCCGCCGGTCGTTTGTCGAGGCCATCACCAAGTCGATCCAGGAGTTTGTTGACCAGCGTTCCAACCAGGTCTCGGAGACGATAGACGTTCCCCAGGACAAGCATCGGTCGCTGATCGGCCGCGGTGGCGAGACCAGACGCCAGATTGAGGCCAAATTCTCTGTCGTTGTCGACATCCCCAGACAGGGTGACGAGCGCACGGATGTCAAGGTGACGGGTGCGCCGGACAATGTCCAGAAGGCCAAGCAGCACATCCAGTCGCTCATCAAGGAGCAGCACACCACGACCGTCCAGGTGCCCCGCAGCGTGCACCACGCCATCTCCAACAACGGCCAGTTCTTCCGTCGCCTGCGCAACGAGCACCAGGTGACTGTTGACCACGCCGGCCAGGCCGTGCCTGCGCGACCCGTCCCTGCTGCTGCCAACGGCAACAGCACCCTGCCCCTCATCACGGACGACGAGGACGCCGCCGACGGTGCGCACTCGTGGCGCGTGGTGGAGGTGTCGACGACGGAGACAGGCGAGATTCCGTGGGTCCTGCACGGCACGCCGGAGAACGTTGAGAAGGCCAAGAAGGCCCTGGAGAAGGCCCTTGAGCAGTCGGGCCGGAGCAATGCTACGGGCTACCTCGTCCTGCCGGACTCGAAGCTGTTCCGCCACGTTGTGGGCCAGGGCGGCAAGAAGATTGACTCGATCCGGAAGCAGAGCGGCTGCCGCATCTTTGTGCCGCAGGGCAACAGCGGCCAAGATGCCATTGAGGTCATTGGCACTGTGGACGGCGTCGAGACGGCCCGCGAGCTGATTCTCGCGGCTGTCAAGGAGGGCACGCAGAAGCGCGAGCTGTAGCGCCAGCATCGCGACGAGAACAATGCCCCCCTATCGGAGGTAATGTGAGGGGAGGAGTCAAATTACATAAAAAAAAGGCGTTCGTGTTCCGTTACGATAGGATGGAGTAGAGAATGAGAGCGGAAGAGTTTGGTTCACTGGCTAGAGAAAAAAAAGCTTTTTTTATTCTTCATGAGGTTGATTTTTCACTCTTTAGTTTTAATGCACAAAACAAATTGGACGCCAACTGAGGTGAGCATCTCTTTATCGTGTTGCTTGTATTTGCGGGCAAAAATGGAATTTGAACGAAACGAGGCGAGAAGACAAAGAAGTCAAGACCTTGCCATAATGATTCACTACAATCAATTTCTAGTTTTGAAGACCTTCCACTATGTACAAATATTAAAGAGGTAACACTGTACACTACCAACATTGCTGCTGTATTTGCGATGCATAATGTAGAGTGTCGAAGCTACCTGATTGAGCACGTTTGAGTGCGAGTCCTGGTAAATGGTATGGATATATAACAAACACAAAACTCCTGGTGATGCATTGCAGAAACGCCATTTTGTATGCAATTATAAACACGTTTTCATGTCGTATTTTCCAAGACCTAAAACGACAACAAAAACACGTCACTTCTTAATAAAACGGGAAAGAAACGTAGTATGGATGCTGCACCTTTGCAGAGCACGCGCTCACATCCGATGCTAGCGCGGAGGGTGTGTCGGTTCCGGGTTCTTGGCCAGGTCCTCCGTCAGGTACAGCAGGGCTTGCTCGACAAGTCGGTACTGGTCCTCGAGCGACGTCTGCGCCATGGATATGTCGTCGGCCGAGCCCGGCACGCCGAGGCCCGAGAAGAGGCTGCCCAGCGGATCCGCCAGCATGCCGCTGGTCAGGTTGCTGCCCTCCTCGACGAGAGCATCCGGGGCGCCCGAGACGGGACGCGTCAGACGCTCGCGGCACCGCTCCAGAAATTTCTGGCTCTTGAGGAAGTTCATCAGCGTGTCGTCGGGCAGGGGCATCTCGCCGCGGTTCATGGACACGGCCATGCGGGCCGTGTGGTCGGTCAGGGAGACGATTTCGCCCAGCAGGGACTCGCACCGCGCGCGGCGGGCCGCCAGGTCCTCGGCCACATTGCCGTTGGAAGCTTGATGCGGCAGGTTGCTGGTTTGGAACATCTCGGGGGTGGGCAGGGGCAGTGCGGCGAGTTGCGACATCTGCGCCGCGAGCGATGCCAGTGCGGGCGCGATGGGCGGCGGCGGCGGCGGCGGGCCAAAGACACGCGGTGTCGGGACCGCAGGTTGCTGAGCCTGGGACTGCTTCTGTTTCTGCTGCTGTTGAGGCTGCGCTTGGGACACGTGGGCCTGGGCAGGCGGCTGCGGCTGTTGTTGCGACATGCCCTGCAAGAGCTGGTCTTCCTGTGCCTCCAGAGCGGCTTCCTGCTGCTTCAGTCGATTCTGCCTCTGCTGCCGCTTCTGGCGCTGCTTACGCTGCCGAGCGGTTCCTGGGGGTCCGCTCGGTGCAGACGCCAAAGGGGATGGCAGGGTCGTAGGCGTCCCCTGCGTCCCCTGCGTCACCTGGGCGGGATTCACAGACGGAGACGCTTCAGCTGGCGCAGCATTGGCGGCGGTGGGAGCCTGTGCGGCGGCGTTCGTGGTAACCGACGCCGCTGGGACGACCGGGGCAGGAGGCGTCGGGACAGCTTTGCCCTCCGCACGGACACGGACCTTGACCTCGCCCTCTACGCCGTCGACGCGGACGCGTCGCACGCCATCGGCTGGCTGCTGACCGTTGGCTGCTGGTCCACCGGTGGCATTGCCGCCGTTGCTGGGGAGCGGGGTCGACTTGACGAGCTCGCGGACAAACAGGTTGGCTTCCTCGCAGCCGTCCATCAGGTACTTGAGGCACAGCTGGACACGCTCGCGGGCAAAGCGGTTATGGTCGTCGTAGACGCACGCATTGAGCAGCGCGAGCATGCCCTTTTCTTCCATGATTTGGCTCTGGACCTGCGCATTGCCGGGGCTCGTCCTGCCCGGGTCCGGCTGCAAAAGGGTGGCGAGAATAGACAGCACCTGTGTCTTAATCCCGGCCCAAGGGAACTTGTACGCAGGGTCCTGAGGAATCGGAGGCGGCGGCGGAGGCGGAGGCGGCGGAAGCTGCTGCTGCTGCTGCTGCTGCTGCCCGGGCCGTCCAGCGTTAGCAGCGGCAACAGCAGCGGCAGCTCGACCGGCCGTGGCACCGGCCATGGCGGCAGCAAGGGCGGACGAGTTGGCATTCGGCCTCTGGGCCGCCGCCTCGACCAGGGGCTTCTTTGGGATGGCCTCCTCGAGCCCCTTGAGAAGCGCGACCAGTTCAATGGCCAGCTCCCAGTCGACCAGCTGAGCACGGATTTCCTCAATCTCCGAGACGGTGGCAAAAAGCTCCAGCACCTGGCTCAGCCCGTCGCGGGCACGCTCCATGTCCCAGGTCTCGATGGGGAAGACGGAGCTGTCGGTGGCGCCGCGGCGAATGTCGCCTTGCACGGACATGAAAGCCAAGCACTCGGGCACAATACGGCACCGCACCGTGCTGACCATGAAGTGCACCAAGCGCATGTCTCTGGCATCGACGCGCTGCCGGGGCGGTGCGCCGTTGGACGCGGCGGGCAGGGCGTTCTGGCCAAGGTACTTCTTGCGGAAGAAGTAGGTGATCATGCGCAGCATGACAGCCTGGGCAGGCGACACGACATCCTTTGGAATGCGCAGCTCCGTCCAGGCGTAGGGAATCAACGACGCGTCGTGGATGGCCTCGAGGATCTGGGACGTGAGCTCCCAGATCAGCGAGCTCTCCTCCTGGTCCCAGACGGCAATGAAAACGAGCAGCTCACGCAGCAGGCTGCGGCCGCTGTCGGATGCCAGCAGGAACTTGCAGCGCGCCTGCTGCAGACTCTCGCCCTGGGGCGTCAGGCCGCTGCCCATGGTGTCGAGGATGCACGACTTGATAATCATGTGCAGGGCTTCGATTTGCTTGGGGTCGAGAATGTTGGGAATCTCCGTGAGCAGGCCCAGGACGGGGCCCTCAGCGTACGAGTCGTCGTCGAGATCGTCCCGGTCGCTATGGGGCCCGCCGTGATGGTGATCGTCATCGTCATCCTCCAGGTCGTCGTCGTTGTCGTCTTCGTAATTGTCATCGATAGGGTTACCGTGAATGTCCAGGTAGGGACCCTCGTGTTCATCGTCGGTATGATCATGATGTTCATGGTGGTGGTGGTGGTCATGGTCATGGTCGTGGTCGTGGTCGTGCTCGTGATCGTGATCGTGATCATGGTCATGATGGTGATGGTAGTGGTGATGGTGGTAGCGGTGGTAGCTGCGGCCGTGGCTGTGGTTGTGATGCTCATCGTCCTCGCCATCGCCTTCGCCTTCGCCTTCGCTTTCGCCTTCCTCGCCGTCTTCATTGTCTTTTTTTACGTCAGCCTCAGCATCCTCATTGCTAACGTCACCGTCCTCGTCTGTACCGTCTTCGTCGACCTCGACCACACGGCCGTCGGTCTCCTCGTCGGTCTCCTCGTCGAGCTCGTCGAGCTCGTCAAGTTTGCTATCTAACTCGGCGTCGCCCTTGCCGGCAACGCGGAAGTATTCACCGGTCATGTGGATGCTGTATCCTTGAGCGGCGTCTTCGTCCCGCATCCGCCAGCGCGGGCTGAACCTGTGCAAGAGAATGTGTTTGAAAAAGGACTGGCGGCGCTTACCGTAGGCACGGTCGGGCATGGGTAGCCGCCACTCGTCGCGATTGGGGTCGCTGACGCGCTCCCACCAGATTTCGTTCTCGTGCGAGACGCGGCCAAAGGCTTCGTCTTGGGCGTACTTGGCCTCGTCGCGGCCGACGTCCGGGTCCAGGAGGTTGCTGGGGATCCAGAGGCGCGCGAGCGGGGAGTTGAGCGAAGGGATGCCGGGTGCCTTTGTCTGGTGTGTGTTGGCGTATTCGACGAGGCGTTCGCGGGCCTCGGCGCAGATGGTGGCATTGCGCTCGAGCCAGTGCCGCAGCTCCATCTTGGCAAGGTCTGGGCGGTAGCCGGTTCCGTCGCCGCCCAGCGTGTCCAGGTCGTCGGGCATGGACTCGTCCTCGAAGAAGACATAGTACCAGAAGGCCATCTTGTTGCGGTCGTTCTTGGCGGTCCAGTTGTGCACTTGTTGGAGAGATGTCACCAAGAGTTTTTTAACTGCCGGTATTAGTGAGAAGGATGAAGGATTAACCCAAAAAAACCAAAAACACAGCCAAGTACAAAGACAACTGTCACATACACAAATCATAAATCTCGTTGAGCTTGTTGCGGCTGGCGTCGTCCAGCACATCGCCATGGTAGCCTTTGCCAGCCAGGTTGACGCACAGCACAATGATCTGGAAGACGACGGCGTCGAAGCTGACCGCGGCACAAATGTCCTGCGGCACCTCGGGCACAGAGCAGACCAGCAGGTTGCGGGCAATGTGCATCAGCTTGTTGAGGATCTGCAGATCTTCCTTGAGGCTCGCGTGGTTCTTAATCATCAGCTCCGAGTTGTCGTGGCCCATGTGGGCGTGCAGGTGGTGGTGGGCGTGGGCGTGGCTGCCGCTGGCGCTGGCGCTGGCACTGGTGCTGCCGTTGGCAATGCTCGACTTGTCGTCGTAGGGCGGGTCGGTCAGCCCGGCAATGGATCGCAGGGTGAGGTTGTCGATGGCGTTGTTAAAGATGCGCGTCAAGTACACCCAGATCTCGACGTTGCGGGCGAGGGCCTCGCGGACGTCCTTGCGGCCGTGCGTCTTTTCGAGCGTGCGGGCCACCATGCCGGCCACCTTGGCCTGCGTCTGCGAGCCCGGGATGGACGGCAGGTCGCTGAAGTGGCCATCGAGGCAGATCAGGGCGGCGGTAAAGCACACCTCCTCGATGGACTGTTTCGAGGACGGAGCACTGATGCGGTCGACGGGCGGCACATTGCCGGTCGCGATGGGTGCCATGGTACACCGTGCGGCGGCAGCCCGACGGACGCTCTAGGAAGGGAGTCGAGGAGTCGAGGAGTCGAGGCGTTTAGTAGTCGGGAAAGGTAGGAAATTGGGATTCGATGAGGTGAGAATGAGCGGAAAAGGACGCGGTGGAAGACAGGCAGACGCAAGACTGTCAATTCGAGAGGGAGAGTCAAAAAGGACCGAAGTCGGCAAAGAGAGCAGACAGCCTGTGTGTCGAAATGCAAAGAGACGGTGAAGGTTGGTCGAAATCCCAAATAGAGAGAACCGGATTTGAAATAACCAAAAAAAAAAAAAAAAAAAAAAAAAGAACTCAAAACGGCTGCTGTAGCGCTGCCGAAAGGGCGTGGTCCCGTTGCCCGCGTTCAAGGTAGCCGGACAGTCGTCGCAAGCAATTGCAAGAGGGTTGTGGGATGCAGAAGTGCGGTAGACGGGGCCAAAAGCGAGGTCGTGAGCTTTGGCGATGTTTTGTTGCGGAGAAGAGAATGCTTCTGCCGGAGTCACGGCGGAGAGGCACGAGACTCGTCGTCCGCTGGGCCAAACGCAGCTTTGGGCAGGGGCGGACTTATTTTTTCGAGATAGGAAGCTGCTACTGTGATTGGCAGAAGGTGCGGGCGGTCGGGACTTGGTGCCTGCCACATTTGCTCTCTTCTGCTCCGGGGGACCTTCCCTGCGTACACAGCACAAACTCGGCAGGAACAGACTCGGAAGGAGCAACCGCCAGCGCGAGTCCAGTGGCTGGCCGGCCTGGAGGCACGTGTGGGAGCCGCTGTAGTTGGCCAGATTGGAAGCTGCCAGCCCCTCCATAGCGCTGCTGACCAGCAGTGAGACGAACCGAATTCGTAATCGGCGGGGTATTGCGTCTTCAGCAGCTTCATCGCAGCGAACAAGCAACGACCAGGCCGCGCCGGCGGGCAAAAGCATACGCCATGCAAAAATAAGAAAAATCAGAAAAAATCCAGGAACCGCTAAAAATGCAAGATAAAAAAAGGCCGAGCATTATGGTCCCTATGTTTTATGTACTCGTACTACCGGCGGATCGGGCACCTTATATTACCGCCATGGGTTGCTCCTGCCGATCTTGAAGCTGCACGACTGTGTCCCTCCTTCCTTGTGTTGCCCAGAACAGAACTGTTCTTCTCTCCAAACAGCGTTTCGTTCCTTTTGGCAGTTGCCTCCTTTTGCGCTTCATCTTTCATCGCCACCATGTCTGCACCTCTCGCCGACCACTACGACCGTACGTTCTGCTGCCTGTGCTCGCCCCCCCCAGGTCTGACCCTGCTAACCCTCGCAGACCCGGTCTCCATTGCCGTCATCGGCGGCACCGGCCTCGCCAAGATCGAGGGCTTCGAGCCCGTGGCCTCGCTCGACATCACGACGCCCTGGGGCAAGCCCTCGGCGCCCATCCAGATTGTCGAGCACAAGGGCGCGGCGTTTGCCTTTTTGGCGCGCCACGGCGTCTACCACCAGCTGGCGCCCCACGAGGTGCCCTCGCGCGCCAACATGGCCGCCCTGCGCCACATTGGCGTGCGCTGCGTGATTGCCTTTAGCGCCGTCGGCAGCCTGCAGGAGCACATCCGCCCCATGGACTTTGTGCTGCCGGACCAGGTCATCGACCGGACCAAGGGCGTGCGGCCCTTTACCTTTTTTGACGGCGGGCTCGTCGGCCACGTCGGCTTTGCGGACCCCTTTGACGCCAAGGTCGCCAAGGTCGTCCAGGGCTGCGCGGCGGCCATGCAGGGCGACGGCGTCAAGCTGCACGCCAGCGGCACGCTCATCTGCATGGAGGGCCCGCAGTTCTCGACGCGTGCCGAGTCGAACCTGTACCGGTCGTGGGGCGGCTCCGTCATCAACATGTCGGCGCTGCCCGAGGCCAAGCTGGCGCGGGAGGCCGAGCTGGCGTACCAGATGATCTGCATGTCCACCGACTACGACTGCTGGCGCGTCGGCGACGACAGCGAGGACGTCGGCGTCAGCATGGTGCTCAAGTACATGGAGGCCAACAGCGCCAACGCCAGGCACCTCGTGGGCGCCGTGCTGGACGAGCTGGCGCGCCCCGAGCACAAAGATCTGGTCCTGGCCAAGCACCACGAGGGCTCGGCCGTCATGGCCGTGCAGTTCATGACCAAGCCCGCCGGCCGCAACCCGGAGGCCGTCAAGCGTGTCGAGTACCTCTTCCCCAACTTCTTCAACCAGTAAGTGGCTGACGGAGACGAGTGAGACGACAGGGTCTTGAGGGCGTCAAGAGGCGTCAGGGAATGGTTTGCGGGATTTTTGGGAGAGGACTATTCCAAGAAGGCTTTTGCGCTGCTTCGTTTTATTTTTTATATTTTCGTCTCGCCTCGATTCACCATAGACGGCTTTCCATGATCACGACCCACAGAGTAAAACACATTCAACATGAAATGTCTCCATACGACAAAATACACCGTAAAACATCACCCAAGCGCCGCGAATGATACGCTGCGAACTAGACGAAACAAAATAAAGACAAGTATATCTTTGTAAACAAGACGCCCAAAACGTATGATGGCAACTGAAAGCAAAGGCGCTTGAAACAATGACCGAGCATAGAATATAGTATGCGAGTTCTCGATAACACATACATACAATAATGCAAATAATGCAAATAATGCAAATAATGCAAATAATGCAAATAATGCAAAAACAGTGCGCAAATATCCTACATCCATCGACAGAGCGCCCGCGCGGCCCGCTCGGCGGCGGCAATGTGCCACGGCCGCGCGTCGCGCTCGCTGTCGAGGATGCCCCGAACGCGTGCCAGGGTGCCCAGCGCCCGGTACGAGGTGAGGATGTCGCGGGCGAGGGCGTCGCTGACGCGGTGCTTGGGGTCGACGTGGACAATGTTGACCTCGAGGACGACGGGCGCGTCGTCGCGACCGATGCCGCCGCGCTTGATGAGGTAGCCGCTGACAAGCGCCGGCTGCAGGTCGACCCAGGTGGAGGCCGTGTTCAGGCGGTGCGCAGCCACGGCGATCCAGGTATTGTCGGTGACGTCGACAAGGACGACATTTCCCTCAATGTCGACGACGGTGTTGGGGTCGGCGCCGGCAGCGGCAAGCTTGGCACTGGCATCGTTGTTGGCGTTGCTGCTGGCGTTGGCATTCGCATTGGCGTTGGCGTTCGCGGCATTCGTATTCGCATTGGCATTTGCATTTGCATTGGCATTGGCATTGGCGACGGCACCAGCACCAGACGGCGTATTGGGAATCGCCGGGCTGTTTGGGGCCGCGACACCGGCCTTCCCGAGCTGGCCGCCGCCCGGCGTGGCCGGCGTGGGAGCGCCACCGGCGGGTGTACCGGCCGCCGGCGTCGTGGGGTTGTTTGCAAAGCTGCTGCTGCCGCCGGCCGGCGTCACAGGGTTCCCGCTCTGCTCTGGCGAGAACACCGACGCTTGCGGTGTCTGCGCAAGGGTTTGGACCGACAGCTGCGACAGCACCGTCGGAGCCACCGTGGCAATCGGCGGAAGCAGCTCCAGCGTCGGCTGGGTGTCGACAGACACCAGCGTCAGACTGATGGATGCACGCGTCTCCGCCTTGGCCAGCTCGGACCAGATGCCGATCTCGTCGGGATCCATGTGGCCGCTCTTGGCAACAATGGCCCGCCAGTGCACCTTGAGGTTGGAGACAATGGCGCACGTGTTGGTCCAGATCTCGCGCGCAACGGCGTCAAACGAGTTTGCGGCGCCGCGTGCGTCTTTGCGCCCGATCCAGTAGGCCGAGCTGAATTGTCGCCACCCGCTGTTGTCGGTCCACGCGGCCGTGATCCAGCGCTCGTCGGCGCTCGCGGCGTAGGCCACGTGGATGCACGAGTTCTCCCGCTGCACGTCCACGAGCGGTGTCGATGACAGTTTTAGGTCGAGGTTGCGCGCAGGCGGCTGCTCGAGCAGGAACGCCGGCGCCGGCCTGGGCCCACGAGGGCTGGCACAGCGGTCGTACACCTCGAGAGAGAGGCGCAGCAGATCGGTCGGCGTAGGCACGGCGAGGGACGTCGGCGAGGACAAAAAGTCGGCGGGGATGAGCTGCAGAACGAGGTCGTTGGGCTCGGAGCTGCGGCTCGTCACCGCAATGTCGTAGAGCTGCGACAGCCGCTGGAAGGCCAGGCAGGCATCGACAATCGCCGTCGTGATCTCCGGGCAGTACACAAAGTAGACCACCAAGCTCTTGCCCGGCGTGTCCTCGGCCGCCAGGGCCTGTGCCAGCTTGTGCACCTGGTCGACGCCCGAAAACTCGGCGCCGGGCGTGGACTGGGACAGGGGCGACGACGAGGACAGGCTGCTGTTGAAGGCGACCATGCCGTCGACAACGCTGGCCTTGAACGACAGCGGCTCGTGGGCGCCCAGCCGCAGGGATTCGTAGACGATCCGCATGCGGTCCAGAAAACGGGCGACGTCGCCGGACAGGCCCTGGTAGTTGGGGTAGGCACAGACGGCGCGGATGTCCTTTGGCCCGTGCAGCGGCTCGAGGCCCAGCACCTCCCAGAACTCGATGCCGGTCGGCTTGATGGACAGCGTCGACTCGTTGCGCCGGATGCCAACAAGCGGCGTGGGCGCCGGAAAGAGGTTTGGGATGCGCTGCTCGGACCCGGGAGGCGCGCGAGGATGTAGCCGACCGGGTGGCGCCAGCTGCAGGGCATCTTGGACGTCGAGGTACGGCTTGAGCGCACAGCGGGATGCGCCGTCCAGCGAGGCCGGCAGCGAGTCCTCGAGGGTCGCGACCGAGTAGCGGACACGCTGCAGAAGGGTCTGGCGCAGCTTGGACGTCTGCAGGTCCTGGCCGTCGTCCTCGTCAAAGACGGATCGGATGGTCGCGCGCGTGATTTGCTGGGTCAGGATCTGCGCCACGTCGGCAATGTCGTCGTCTGCGTAGTTCAGCTCCGTCGGCTGTGGCAGCGGCTCGGCAAAGAACCGGGCAATGGGAAAGTCCCAGACGCCTTCGCTGTAGGCGCGGGACAGCTCTGTGGCGGCCTCGGGTGACGGCATCAGCTCGGCCATGGCGCGCGCGCGCATCTTCCTGTGCACGGCGGTGACCGCCAGAGGCGCTTCGTCGTCGTCTGAGTCGTCGGACGACGAGCTCGTGCTGGACGCGTTGGAGGATGTGTCGCCGCCGTCTTCGAGGTCTTCGAGAAGACGCGGGCTGGGCGCGGCGTGCAGCGAGCTCGACTTGAGGCCGCGCGTGATGCTGGAGATGAGGGACGCAAACTGCGGCGACGCATCCGACAGGCCCGGCCGTTTCTTGAGCGGCCGACGAAAGGCGGTCGGCGACGTTGCCGAGGACAGGTCGGACAGCATGTCGGCTTCCGGATGGGGCCAGCTGAAGCCGAACTTGCCGTTCAGCTCGTACTTTTTGCTGTTCTGGATCATAAACTCGGTGAACCTGAGGCCTTCAAACAGCTTGCCGGGTTGTTGGGGGCGAGGCTGTCGTAATGCACCGACGGGGAGCGCCTTGTTCGCCTCGGCAATGGCGCGGACGCGCTTGAAGACCGTCACGGCATTGAACGGGCTCGGCGATCGTTTGCCGCTGCCTTTCCTGGCGTCGCTGAGGTTGCTCCGTGCGTGCCGCAGCTCTGGCTTTGCAAAGACGGGCGACCCGGGCGTCTTGTTGGATGACTCGCCGACTGTCTCGTTTGATTTACGGTCGGATGGTGGTTGCTGTACCGGTGGTGGAGGAGGGGGCATGGAAGGTGGGTTTTGGGGTTGGTTTTGGTTTTGATTTTGATTTTGATTTTGACGTTGTGGTTGCGGTTGTGATTCTGACTGTATATTTGAGTCCGCTTGCGATGTGGCCTGCGCATGGGCATCTGGCAGTGTGTCGTCTGCCGGCATTTCGCTTGGTCGGCTGCTGACGTCCACGTCCATCTTGTCCGGGGCGAGAGCAGCAGACGAAGCCGTCGAAGATGGACCGGCTGCTCCCGTGGCGCTGGCGGCCGTGGCGGCATCCGCTTGCTTCGTGTCGTCGAAAAAGTTAAAATCGGCGTCCGTAATATCGTCGCCGAACATGTCCGCGCCAAGGTCGCCGCCCAGCAAGTTGTCGGGCTCGCCCATGAAGGCTTGGTCTTGGTCCTGGTCGTTCTGCTGGGCGCCAATGCTCGGCCAGTCGCCAAAGCCCTCCTCGGCGCCACTCGGCCGTTCGGCCGGGATAGCGTCAAGGTCCGCGGGACCCGCGCTGGGTCCCATGGCGTTCCCGGGACTCGACGTCGCGCCATCAAACGTCGGTGTCGCGCCAACCAGACTGAGAATACCATCGGGCGGCGTTGGGTAGATGGCGCCGGCAGCGGAAGTTGCGGAAGTTGCGGACGTGGCTCCTGCTCCTCCTGCTCCTCCTGCCCCTCCTGCTCCGCCTGGCCCTCCTGGCCCTCCTGGACCTCCTGGCCCGACTAGGTTGTGCCGTAAGCCAGCAGGCGAAGGGCCGTCGGACTGTGTCCCTTTGCCGATGCTCGAGACGGTTTGCACGTCTTCCATGACAACGTCCTCGGGGGCGGCATCGTCTTCCTTGGCGGCCTCCTTGGACCGCAAGGCTGCTTCTTCCGCCCGCAGCTCTTCCAAATACGCCGCGCGCAGCTCCGCGAGCGGGTCGAGCCGCTGGAAGGGCGCAACCGTGACCAGTGCGTCCTCCAGACACCAGAAGCAGAGGACGGAGGGCCACAGGATGACGACCGAGTTGCCGCTGCTGTTGTCGCTGTCATTGCCACTGGGCGTCTTGTCGTCGAGCACAAACTCGAGCTGCAGCCACGTCGAGTCCTGCAGAACAGACGCCGACGTGCCGCGCATCTCCAGCATCTTGGCGGCGAAGCTCTTCCAGACATGGGGCACGGCCGGCAAGGGCACGCCGTTGCGTTGCAACCGGGCCACGGCATAGCGGCTGTCGTCGGCGGACATGACGGGCGGGTAGGCGTCCTGCACGGTGGCAAACTTGCCCCAAGGCGCGGTCAGAACAGCGGAGCCGGGCGGCGGCACGCCGGCGTAGCACTCCCACTCGGAGCAGCCCATGCCGCGCAACAGCGAATGCGACAGGCTGACCAGCAAGGCGCCGGCGGTCGTCAGAGTAATGCGCAGCGTGGCGACGAGCGAGCGGCTGTCGGTGCGGCTGCTCTCCCGGCCGTCCCACAGCGGGTCGAGCGGCGGCAGCAGAAAGGTGCGGTTGTTGAGGGCAATGGCCTTGGCGTTTGAGCAGTACGCGGTCGACAGGCTGGCCAGGACGGCGGACATGAAGAAGTTGTAGACCACCTTGGTCGGCACGGCGGGGAAAGCGGATCGTGGATCGGACGCCTGTGCTTGTGTCTGCGAGCCGCCTTGCGTTCCTTGCGTCCCCTGTGCCGCGTGTGCCGCGTGTGCCGTGCCGCCGTCTTGCGTCCCGTCACGGTCAGCGCCTCCATTGCTCCCGGCCGTCCCCTGTGCCTGTGACGCCGGAGCATCGACCACGCCAGGCAGCCCAGACAGGCCAAAGGAGGTGTGCAGCGCGATGGATGTGGCGGACGACGATGCCGAGCTGCTGGGCGTGTTCACGGGGTTGGCGCTGGTGCTCGCTGCCGGCTTGCCCAGAACAAGGCTGCCGGGGTCAAAGGCGCCGTCGGAGACGGTTGTGAGCTTGTACGGGCCGACGTCGATGGTCGTGCCGAGCTCGGACTTGGTGGGCGAGCCAATGGGCGAGCCGTCCTTGCGCAGAAGCCGGAAGCACCAAATGCCCTGGCGGCGCGAGTCGGCAAAGACGAGATGGCCATCGTGGCGCAGGGCCTTTTCGACGTCCGAGGGCGAAAAGGTAAAGAGCGCCGCAGACGCCGAGGCCGCAGCGACGGGGCGGTAGACACGGAAGGCAATGGAAGCGATGTTGGTGACCGCCAACGTGTTGGTCTCATATTCGCCTACTTCCATGTCGCCGTCCGTTTGCCGGGACGGGCCCTGGGCACGGCCACCCCGCCGACTGTGGACTGAGGGCGGGAAGGACGCGGAGGGCGAAGACGAGGACAACTCGCTAGCTAGCCGGTGAGCAGCGGATGGATGAAGAGATGAGCCAGGCCAGTGGACGGCTGGACTCCATCACCGTGCGGCGGTCGACGAGAGACTGGGTGTCGGTCGCGGGACAAACACCGGGCGAGGAAATGTCGAGGAAATGTCGAGGAATGTCGACTGTGTCGATGTCGTGATGCAAAGCGACAATGTTCAACGTTTTGCGTCGGATATAGCGCCGTGGGTGCGCCGTATTCGGAACCGGCGGCAGGAAAGACTGAGTCTACCAGCTGCAGCAGTCGTCGCTCGTCAGCAGAGACGCGCACGAGAGCGCGAATGGGTCGTCGGGTGGCCGTGGGCTGCGTCGGATGGTCCGGTCGATGTCTCGAGACGACAGGAATTTGGTTGGTGCGACGTCGATGTTTTGGGTTGCTCGCCTGAGCTGTCTGTCGCTCTTTCCCCGAAACAATGGAAACAGCACACAATGCCCACAGGCTGTTGATAGCCTAGCTTTGCCCCAATGGCGGAAGGCGCTACGTGCGTGCTGTGGGGCCGTGCTGGGGTTTGCGCGGAAGGTGCTGCAGGGGAACGATGGAGCGACCTCGACGTATCTTACGGGCAGGCTCGATAAGTGAGCGCACGTGACGCCTACTGCCAACGGCAGGAACAAGGGGCGGTGGCCAGCAGCCAGGCCACAGGGAAGCAGCGAGGGGCAAAAGTAGGCAGGCCACAAAAATCAAAATTCAGCGGCCGCGATCCGCTTTGGAACTGCCTAGAAGAGCATCGACTGCAGCAAAAGCTGTACCACCAAACAAAACCGCTTTTTGGACCTCACCCATTCCACCACAACCACACCCAGACCCACGACCGGCGAGACACGCATTCCGACACAGACGCCGAAACACGCACCCTCCCCTACAGTCGCTTGGTCTCGCAGAGACGGCAACTCCTCCAAACATGGCGATGAGTGCGTTGCAAAACATCCCCGCGCCCCGTTGGCCCCTATTTCAGCCTTTTGGTCAGCAAGCTAACTTCTCGCCCACAACACAGATCTCGACCTCTCCAACGGTATGCAAAGCACCCCAGACCGACCCAGCTGCCTTTTGTGGAAGCTCGCAAGCCTACTAACACGCCACAGCGTCGGTGATTCAGGATGAACAGGGCCGGCCGTTTATCGTGGTCAGAGAGTAAGTCTGGACAGCACAGCTCGTCCGTCCGCATGGCGTCTTCCAGGTACCAGACCGCCGCTAACCGCCCCCCCCCCTCCGCAGCCAAGGAAAGAAGCGGCGGCAGTTTGGCAACGAGGCCGTCAAATCCCACATCCTCGCCGCGCGGACAGTCGCCAACATCGTCAAGTCGTCGCTCGGCCCGCGCGGCCTCGACAAGATCCTCATCTCGCCCGATGGCGACATCACCGTCACCAACGACGGCGCCACGATCCTGCAGCAGATGGAGGTCACAAACCACGTGGCCAAGCTGCTGGTCGAGCTCTCCAAGTCCCAGGACGACGAGATTGGCGACGGCACGACCGGCGTCGTTGTGCTGGCCGGCGCCCTGCTCGAGCAGGCGGCCGAGCTGATCGACAAGGGCATCCACCCGATCCGCATCGCCGACGGCTACGACCAGGCGTGCGACATTGCCGTGGCCGAGCTCGACAAGATCGCCGACGTGCTGCCCTTCGGCCCCGGCGACGTCACCAACCTCACCAAGGTCGCCCGCACCAGTCTGGGCTCCAAGATTGTCTCCAAGGCGCACGACCAGTTTGCCAAGATTGCCGTCGACGCCGTCATGTCGGTCGCGGACCTCGAGCGCAAGGACGTCGACTTTGAGCTCATCAAGGTCGACGGCAAGGTCGGCGGCGCCCTCGAGGACTCGCTGCTCGTCAAGGGCGTCATCGTCGACAAGGACTTCTCCCACCCGCAGATGCCCTCGGAGGTCCACGACGCCAAGATGGCCATCCTGACGTGCGCCTTTGAGCCGCCCAAGCCCAAGACGAAGCACAAGCTCGACATCACGTCCGTCGAGGAGTTCCGCAAGCTGCAAAACTACGAGCACGAGAAGTTTGTCGAGATGATCCAGCAGATCAAGGACACCGGCGCCAACCTGGTCGTCTGCCAGTGGGGCTTCGACGACGAGGCCAACCACCTGCTGCTGCAGAACCAGCTGCCCGCCGTGCGCTGGGTCGGCGGCCCGGAGATTGAGCTGATTGCCATTGCCACCAACGGCCGCATCGTGCCGCGCTTCGAAGACCTGACGGCCGAGAAGCTCGGCACCGCCGGCGTCGTCCGCGAGATGACCTTTGGCACCACCCGCGAGAAGATGCTCGTCATCGAGGAGTGCGCCAACACCCGCGCCGTCACCGTCTTTGTCCGCGGCAGCAACAAGATGATCATCGACGAGGCCAAGCGCTCCCTGCACGACGCCCTGTGCGTCGTCCGCAACCTCGTCCGCGACAACCGCGTCGTCTACGGCGGCGGCTCCGCCGAGATTGCCTGCTCGCTCGCCGTCGAGGACGCTGCCGTCCAGACCCCCGGCCTCGAGCAGTACGCCATGCGCGCCTTTGCCGAGGCCCTCGACGCCATCCCCATGGCCCTGGCCGAGAACTCGGGCCTCAACCCCATTGCCACCCTGGCCGAGGTCAAGAGCCAGCAGATCAAGGCACAGGGCGGCGCCGCCCGCGGCCGCCTGGGCGTCGACTGCATGGGCGTCGGCTCCAACGACATGAAGGAGGCCTTTGTGATCGACCCGCTCATTGGCAAGAAGCAGCAGCTGATGCTGGCCACCCAGCTGTGCCGGATGGTGCTCAAGGTGAACAACGTCATCATCAGCGGCTCGGGCGAGGACGACTTTTAGAGGGCGGGGGAGGCCCAAAGGTGATCGAACGGCAATATAAAAAAAATGAAAGAATGAAAGGAATCCAAAAACGTATGGAGCATGTATAGAATAAAAAGCAAGTACGGCGACGGGGTTCAAAACGACGCCCGTTGCACGACTGTATACCCCCCCCCCCTGTGTTCTGTGACTGGGACTGGGCAAGGAAACAGGAAACGTTTGGAAAATACATATGGTTTTCAATATAAATGACTCTCAAATGCAAAACCGCGTGCGCCCCATTTGGGGTTGATTGTATGCTTTTGGAATAGGATGTCTTTTGTGTACTTTACAAGTCAAAATGAGTATCCCAACGACGACACCATAATTAGGAATAAAGAACCTTGGCAGCCGCATCCCGAAAACGCTCGCTAGAAAGCAATGTCGGCCCCAACTTGTCTATCGTACTCTTTGTTTCCGCAACTCTTTTGTTTCCGAAACTCTTCCTCGTTGCCCGTCTACGAGAATCCAAATCCCTTGGCATTCTCCAGCGCCATCGCCAGCCGCTCTTGGAGCACCTCGCGATTGGGATACTCGGGCAGCAGCAGCGTGCCGTAGCACGTGTATGCCGTCGGGAGATGGCCCCCCACGGCTTCCTCCTCGCCGTTCCGCTGCAGCACAAACTGCATCGTCTTGGCGCCGCCCACCGGCATGCGGTCGCTCGCCGTCACAAACTCGAGCAGCTTGCGCTTCATCGGCTCGTCGTACGCCGACACAATCGACCAGAAGTCGCTCACCGTCGCGTGGCCCGTGTCCCAGCCCACGTACCGCGTGTGCTGCCGCAGCTCGTCCATGTCAATGGTCTGCTCGCCCTCCAGCAGCGACTGCAGCAGTGCCGGTGTCAGCAGCGTCAGCGACTTGGGGTGCAGGCACTTGCGGAAGCCGCGCGAGAACGCCTCGTACTGTGCGCGCACCGACACGTCCGTCAGGTAGCGGATGTAGTCCGTGACGTAGGCGTTGCGGTTCGCGCCCGTCACCATGGGGGCGTCGTCGCCAGGATTGCCAGCGGCCAGCGGCGATGCGTTGGGAGCGGAGGGATCCTCTGCTGGTTCGGACCGAGCGGCAGCGACATGGGTGGCAGCAGCAGCTGTATCGGACATGCCTATTGGTGCTGTGGCCCGCGCCTCAATGTCATGCAGGACGTTCTCCCGGATCTTCGGCCACGGCGCACAGTCGTCCCCCATGACGCGGGAGATGGGCTGGCCAAACAGGTCGACGGAAAACTCGTACGTCCGAACAAAGACGTCCTCCACCGCACCATCCTGCTCGTTCCACTCCAGCAACGCGGTCAAGCCACTGGCCAGGTCGGGCCAGCCGTCGGCAATGTGGTGCAGCTCGTCCACGGGCTCGCCGAGCAGCTTGCGGTAGAGCGCCTTGGGAAAGGTCACGGGCAGCGATATGCCATTGAACAAGGCGAGGGACACCAGCAGACCAATCAGCTCGAATTTCCAGTCGGCCTCCAGCGTCGTCGGGTTGAACCAGGTCATGTGTGTGCGGCTGTCGACTGTGAATGCGCCGTAGTTGGGCTCCAGGGCCTCCGCCAGGGCCAGCCGGAAAAATTCGTACTGTACGCCGCCGGAGTCGATGCCCTCTTCGCCGCTGTTCTCGCCGAGGCGGACCTTGAGCGGCCGCAGCAGCTCGCGCTGTTCACGGCGCCACAGCTGGTCAAAGGCGTCGGAGAGGATCGAGCTGCGGCTGATGTCGAGAACAAGGTACTTTGTCGATGCCATCTTGAGTAGGTCCTGCAGCACCTTTTTGTGGTGCGGATTGATAATCAAGCTCCCCGGCGAAATAATTGCATTCATCCGGCTCTGGAGGGAGCTCGACTCCTCAAACGAGCGGTTCATGCGCGAAAAGTTGATGGCCCGGAAATACGAGACAAGCGACGTCGGGCTGAAGATGAACGGCAAGTCGAGCAGGTGGCGACGCTTCCGCGTGGACGTGAACGACAACCACGCGACCGGCATTTCCATCTCGTCGAGGCGCTCCGCAAAGTACTCCGTCCGGAACTGCACGTCGCCGACCAAAAGAGCCTGTCGCTTTTCGTAGAGGGCCGCGATGAGGGCGAGGGCGCCGCCAAAGTGGCCATCGCCGGGCACGGCTGGCGAGCCGGTCCATTCGCTGAGCATGACGGCGCGAGCCCAGTCAAGGAGCAGAGTCGGCACGCGCGTTTCGTGGAGTGTCCGATCGGGGAAAGAGAAATTGAGAATATAGGCCGCGTCCATATTGAGAAAGTCCAGTTGCGAAAACAGCGGCGCGAGAATGTCCATTGTGCCCTCGGCCGGCCGGCTGCCCCTGCGGCCTTGGCCGGCAATGGTGCCGGCAAGGGCGCCGTCAGAGCCGGAGCTGCCGTTAAAGGTGCGCTGTGCCGCGATGGCCGAGAACAAGACCCGGGCCAAGCGCAGGGCAAGGTCGTTGGAGAAGGCATCGTCGTACTGGAGGCAGAGCTCCGCCGGCTGTCGCACGACCAGGCCACTGCCGGCGAGGCTCAGGCCTTGGGAGCGAATGCGAGACATGTCGTAGAGCTGCGACTCGTTCTTGACAACAGGCGCAACGGCAACCAGAGCATGCAGGCAGATCGCCATCAGCATCCCCGCCTCCGCGTCGGTCAGCAAGCTCTGCTGCTTGTGCGGCGCGAGACGTGCCTCGGGCAGCCGTCGTGCCAGGAGCGTCTTGGTGGGTACAAGCAGCGCCTTGGCGGCCACCCACAGGCTGTGCAAGACGAGGCTCGGCGCGACACGGGTGAGGCGGAGCATGCAGTACCAGAGGGTATGCGTATCATAGAGCTGGCCCTGCTTTGTAAACGAGGAGATGAGGGCCCTCGGGTCGCTGAGGACGTAAAACAGGCTCTGCTCGACAAACAGGCGCCAATCCTCGGCGAGATGGACGTCCTGTTGCCTGCCCTGCGGCTTTGGCTTCCGTCGGAGGGGAGGCGAGCGGCTGCCCCGGGTCTGTTTGTGAAACTGCTTGACGACAGGCGGCTCAAGCATGTGCACCTCGCGGGTGCAGTCGTCTTGCAGCACATCGCACACAAACTCCACGACGTCGGCGTTCAGCCGTGTCAGGGTTTGCGGGAGCAGCATGTCCAGAGCGGCGTCTTCAGTACTGTCGGCCCCCGTACCATCGACGTCGTTGGCAGCAGAGGACTGGTTGGAAGAAGATCGGTCCGAGGAGCGGGAGCGGGAGGAGGACGAGCGTGACTGCGGAAGGCTGGTGTCGCTTCCGCTGTGGGTCAAAATGTCGGCCTGCGTCCGTGCCGTCTTCTGCGAGGCCTCAAACGATCCTTTGAGGTTGAGCGGCGGCATCTTTTCCAAAGGGACGCTGTCAAAGAAGCCAGCGCTGGACAGCTGCGAGATGGGGCGTGCAATGGTGGGCGCCGTGCTCTTCAGCGATCTTGCCGAGGGGGCTATGGGATTGAGATCGCCCTGGACGCCTGGCAAGAGGGGAGAGAGGACCGGCGGGATGTCGTCGGCGTCGGCGGCAAACGGGTCCACCGACAGTTTCCGTTGTTGTTGGCGTGTGGATGTCGGGGCTCGCATGCGGGCGCTGGCATTCAGCACCGCATGGCCGTTTCCGTTGGTGCTCGCGTGACCATTTGGAGGTGAGGGTGCACGCTGGGAAATGCTTGCGACCGGCTGGTCCTTTTGTGTTTCCGCTGGGCCACCGCCACGATCGCTCGGTTCGACACGTCCAGTCGTTGCCGTGCTGCCGTCTTTGCCTTCCATCTCACCTGACGATACGTCGCGGGTCGGTGCCGGAGACTGGCCCAGGGGCTGGTCCGGTGTAGCCTTGCCGGAAGAGGGCTTGGACACCTTTCTTGCACTTGGTTGAAGCCCGCCTTGCAGCACATCTGCTGCGTCGGTCATGGTTTCGACACTCGCAGGCGTCAACCATTCCAGCATTTTGAAGGCTACTGTGCCGAACATGTTGGCGGCAAAACTCCGGTAGTCCTTGCTCACGGGCTTCTCCGTGATTGTAAAGTACAGCTCGTCCTTGTCATGCTCTTCGTTTTTGTCAGAGTTGGCGTGTCGAGGTGCAGGGTGTGCTATTGGCGGTGGTGATGGCGTCTTGCCCGTCTTTCTCCCCGTTGCCTTGTCTGCCTCGGAAGAAGTCCTTTTTGCGCCATGTACGCTCTTTACGCCATTGGATCCCTTCGAGACCTCGTCATTTGATGCACGGGAACGGAGTGTGCTAGGATTCGGCTTGAAGCTCCCTGCAGTAGCAAGGCCATGCATGGGCGCATGCTTTGGCGTGAAGATGACCGAGTTCAACGCGTCCGGTGGTGACTGGGGCAGCTTCAGAGCTGGGCAGAGGCCAGCCTCCGGGTTGTCCTGGCTGGCAAGGTGGATCGCCAGCGTGCGTGCGCTCGTTGTGTTGTATCGACGGAGGGGGGCCTTGCCGGCGAGTCGTTTGCGAAAGGAGAGGCAGGTCGCGTTGCCACACGTGGCCGTGCCGCAGCCATCACGGAGCTGCACAATGTACCTGGGGCGGGCATGGTTAGCGAACAGAAACATCAGCACGGTGGCGTTGGTGTGTGCGGCAAACATACAACTGGATCAGGAGCTGGAAGTTGTGTCGGCGGCTGGCCTTGTGGACGGCATAAACACGGCGCGGGTTCTCGACCTCGTCGACCAGTTCGCGCAGCTCGGCTGGCGCGTCCCAGGGCAGTCTCGCGAACGGCGCCTCCTCCCACAGACCGGCAAGCAGGCCACTTCCACTGCCACTGCCACTACCGCCACCACTTGCACCGCTCCTCGCGGGTGGCCGTTGTGTCTCGATCGTCATGACGTCCGTTCAAGGGTCAGTCGCTGGTGAGACGGAAGGGCCGATTCATGTCGAGGAGGGTGACTGCAGAGTTCGGGGTCGGCCAGGGTAACGCGGTAAGTGGTCGCCGTAGGCCGTTGGGATACGGGCCGGTGTACAGGTCGAGCGGTAGTCGCAGTCCGGTCGCCAGATAGGCAACTGTCGTTGTGATGGTCGTTGAAAGCCCTCCACGTTCGAGGCTGAGTCGATGTAGGGGACCGACGAGAGTGCCGGATGGAACGAAGGGAACGCGGCCTGCCGAGACACAAGACGCGGGTTGAGAAAGAGCGTGCGGTGTGATGGATACCAGATGGTGCGAAAGTGAGGCCGTTGACTGTCGTTTGATGACGGAAAGTTGAGATGGACGAAAGAGACGATGCATCGTCTGCCTTGGGGCAAACGGGGGAAGGAGAGACGGGCTGGGGGTGCCTGCCGTGGTCCTGGGTTGTTTGACCTGCGGAGGCTTTGTAAAGAGGAAATTTGGGGCGCTAGAGTGCCCTAAAGAGAAGTAGCGCGCCCTGGACGCAGCATGGGCGGCAGCGACGATGCACGGACCACTCAGCGTTTAAGCCGCCCCAGGAGGCGAATTATGACCTAAGTCGGGCAGGCACGCGAGACTTCCCGTCGCAATGCTCCGTACAGGCAGGTGCGTTTGCGCTTGCTTGGTTGACGGGCGCAGAAGGTGGAAGGTGCATCTGAGCAGTTATTCTGCGCCTGTGTTTTCGGTTCTATGAGATTGTTTGTGCGAAAGGGTCGCACCTTCTCAACAGGTGTGGCCATCTGCCACAGCAAAGCCGCACCTTCCGTCTCTGTTCGTCTATGAGATCATTAAATCTGGAAATCCGATTGGCCGTCATGTTGAGATAGCAGCCACGGAAAGCGTGTGGGATGAACCTTCCTCTTTCTGTTTCTGTCCAAACTTTTGTCAGGAAGGAACCGCGAAAAAGGAGGCTGATGTACGACATACTGCTCACTTTACCTACTTCCTATTCTGGTCAATGCCCTGCACATGTTGCAGCATTCCGGCATTGCCAAACACATCGAAGGCAGTCGCGACCACCGATCGTAGCCCAGGCGGCCCTAAGACCGCCCCACCTTCTAGAAGCCTTCCCACCCACTAAAATCGCCCGAAAAAGAAATCCTGCATGACGGACTTTTTTCCGTCCCACTCAAATTTTTGTCAATCTGCTCCTGCCAAAACCTCTCTGACGTCGTGCCTTCCTCCCCTCACTTCCACTTTTTTGGCTTTGTTGTCACAGCCTTTCTTCACGTCGTTAAATCCCCTTTGCGTCAATTCTTCCTTTTTACCACACGTTTTCTTCCACGCTCCTCTACCCCCTGCAACGCTCACTTCCTTTCAACGACCACCCACGACAACGACCCTCGACGCTTTTCATCATCGCGGGGCTCGCCGCTCCCACTCGTCCACCACCGTATAGAGCCTCCATCGAGACGATTCTGCTTTGGCCTTCAGCAGCATTGACTCAGACTTTCTCGGTGTCATCAATCTCCCAGTGATCACCGGGCTCAATAATACGTCCGGCGGCCTTCCAACAGACTCCCAAGAGCCAATAGCGTCCACTTTTTTGCTACCTTATTTTCCGTGTCTCACATCAGTGGCAAACTTGTTTACTTTGACCGACAACTATTTCTCTGCCGAATTTGTCGAGTTTTGACGAAACAACGATCAATCCCTCGTCCTGGATTACGAGTCCCTATCCAAACACTTGCCATAACGACTACTCATAGCCACCGGCCATGACGACAATAGCAGGCGACCGGCCGGTAATGAAGCCGGCGGAGGACGCGGCGCCGGCCACACATCAGTTCAGCTGCAACTCGTGCCAGGTTGCGTTCCGCAGCGTCGAGCTGCAGAAGAGCCACATGAAGAGCGAGTGGCATCGGTACAACCTGAAGCGCCGTGTGGTGTCGCTGCCGCCGATCTCGTCGGAACTCTTTGCCGAGAAAACGCTGCAGAACCGGGCCGGTGCGGCGGCTGAGGCCGGACGTGCCGGCTTTGAGCGCAGCTGCGATGTGTGCCAAAAGACCTACTTCAGCGAGAACTCGTACCAGAACCACATCGGCAGCCAGAAGCACAAGGCCAAGGCGGCGAAGGCGGGCACAAAGCGCAGCAAGACCAGCAAGGCACCGATCGACGATGCGAGCTCAGTCATAAGCTCGACGTTCTCACTGGGCGAGCCGACGCAAAAGATGAAGTCTGCCGTGGCTGACACCGAGACCGAGACGGTGGGATCGGAGGCGGAGGAGGAGTTCTCACAGGTTGTGGAGGGCCTCAAGAAAACAACAATTGAGGGCCACTCGCCCGTCAAGCGGCCTGCCAATCCGCGTTTGTCAGTGGCGGCACAACACAAGGGTGAGCATCTTCTTGACTTAGAGGCGGCGGACAAAGAGTACGAGGACGACGAGGAGCCGGCTGCCCCGGCGGCTAAGCAGTCGGCGCCGGCGCACTCGCTCAAGTCGTGCCTGTTCTGCAACTACGCATCGCCAACGATTGCGCTGAACGTGGCGCACATGGGTCGTTTTCACAATATGTTCATTCCCGAAAAGCAGTACCTGGTCGACCTGGAGGGACTGCTTGCGCATCTTGAGACGCGAATCCGCGACGACCATGCGTGCATCACCTGCGGCAAGGTGCGCGGCGACGTCTTTGCTGTGCAGACGCACATGCGTGATAAGGCGCACTGTACCATCCCGTACCTGACGTTGGAGGAACAGGTGGACATTGGCGATTTCTACGACTTCCGTGGCACGTACTCGGACAGCGATCCGGAAGACGACGATGACGAGGAGGATGGCAGTGATGACGGGGATGGCAAGAGCCCGACGAAAAATGCCGCTGCCAAGCTCGGCGCCAAGCGCGCTACCAAGACGACGACCGCCGACGGAAGCGACGTTACGGGCGACGATGGCGCGGATGATGGCTGGGAGACGGACAGCTCGGCATCGTCGCTCGACTCAGCCGACCTGACGGCCGTGCCGGCGGACAACCACATCCACCAGTACGAGCGTCTGGACAAGCACCCGCACCACAGCCAGACCGATCCGCGGTCGCACCACCAGGCAGATGGGTGGCACTCGCATGCGCACAAGCACAACCACGCGGTGTACTATGATGAGCATGAACTGCACCTGCCGTCAGGACGGTCCGTGGGCCACCGATCGCTGAATCGGTATTTCCGGCAGAACCTGCACAACTACCCGTCGCTTGCGGAGCGCGAGAAGCAAATGCAGCTGGCCATCGAGGCGGGCGTGGAGTTTGACTCGGAGGACGAGGACGAGGACGTCGACGGACTCGGAAGTGAGGCCGCCTCGCTGGCGCTGGCCCGGCGCACAAACGCGGCCAAGGCGCGCGCGGTGTCGACGCGCCCGGCGCCGCGTAACACGCTCGGCCTGACGGGCGTGACGGACAAGACCAAGGCGAACCTGATCAAGGTTGAGCGGCGACACGAGCTGGCGCAGCAGATTGCGGCGGACAAGGGCCGGATCAAGTTCAGTGCCAACTCGATCGGCCAGAGCTTCCGCTTCTTGGGCCGGACGTGAGACGTGAACCCGTTGCGTTTGTTGTCCACCCGATGTCTATTGCATTCCCGGAGTTGCTAGAGGTTCGTTTCTATCACGTTTCGTTTTGCCTTTGAGTCTCCTGGATGCTCTATTTTTTTCTTTTCTTTTTGGTCTTCTTCAATTGATTTTGCACCATGTATTCTGGTATGAATTCCTTTATTCTTTTATTTTTCACCCCCAAAACGGCGTGGACTGGCAGCATTTTAATAGATCCGGTACAATCCACCATGGAGTCTTTTGTCTGCCCTATTGTTTTCTTTGACGTATTACACATATGGCTTACTTATGTAACGACTGGTTATCTTAAGGTACCATGAAGAAGTTTTGAGAGCCGCCTCCTATTGGTCCGTTGAGGCCCGCTTTTTCCCGAATACCCTCCGTTCATTGGTTGTTTGGAGAGTGCGTAGATTGTTGTAGCCTGATTGGTCCGTCACGTTAGCGGCCCCTAGTTTTTCGCCCATTTAAGCCCTCTTATTCGTCAGAATCGTTTTTTTGCTCCACTTTTTCGTTAGCGTCGTACGTGGAATCGATTTTATTCGTCGAAGGGGGGTTTTGTGGTCCGTTTTTATAGGTCGGTTTATTTTTAACCGTCGTGTTTTTTAGTCGTGTTTTTACGTTTAAATTAGGTTTATTTATATTCGTACTTTAATATTACTAATTGTTTTTACGAACTATTACTAACTATTTCACTTATCGTTTATTTTATACCGTTACGATAAAAAACACCTTTATATCTTCTCCGTAAATATGTTTTATATATAAACACACCTTTTTTACTACTTTTTTCGTAAAGGAACGGTTAAGTATTAAACCGTATCGGACTTATAAAGACTATACTACTACTTTAAAGAACCGACGTACCCGAGACTCTTTTTTTTAAACCGTTTTAACCGATATACGGAAGTGTATTAAGTGTAAAAAAACCTTTTTAATTTCTTCTTTTATTAACCGTACCCGTAAACGGTCGTAGTAGACTTATTTTAGTTATAAAGACGTCGAAAGGGGGTATATTACTCTTACTCTTATTATTAATAATATATCGTAGTTCCCCCTCTTTATCGTAATAAGTGTTTCTTTTTATAATACTAATATAATAAATATATTTTAGTTAGTTTTAACCGGTCTTTCGTCGTAACGTTTTATTTTTAACTTTAAGATTTATTAAAATCCCGCCTTTTTTACTACACCGTAATAACCGTAATAGTTATTTTCTTCCTTTTTTACTTTAACTACTCTCTCTTTTATTTTCCTTTTTTATTTACCTTTTTCCCGACGTGTTTTATAACCGTAATAGTTAAAACGGGTTTTCTTATTTCTTTTCTCGATATCTTCGGTCTTTTTTATCTCCTTTCGAACCGTGTAATAGTCGTTATAATCTTCTTCGTTTTTTTTTTAAATACCTCTTTAATCTCTTTAATACCGTAATAAACGAACTTACTACTTTTACGGACTGTTTCACCGATACTAGTAGTTATTACGTCTTTACCGTACCGTCCGTCTCGTTAAGTTTTACTTTTAATAACGTTTCGGCCCGTATTTAACTTTTAAAATAGCCCTCGTTTTAAGATTACTATAAGCCTTATTTATTAATATTATAAGGTAATTCGTTAAAAAAGAAACGGGCCGTAATCTTATTACGACGTTAAAAGGCGTGTATTATAATCTTTATTAAACCCTTTTAAGTTTTTAATAAACTTATTAATATATAAGTTTTATTTTTATTATATTTCTTTTAATTACGTTTTTAACTATTTCCGTTTATTTTAATTAACACTACCCGAGTAAGACGGTTCCGTAATAATATTCGGAAGTATAATTATATATTTTCGTTTACTTCGATTAATACGACTTAAACTATATACGGTACGGTCGGTAACGCTCCGATAACGTACTAGATATAAGGTACACTTTACTATAACACCGGTCCGTTATAACTAGTCGATAATAAACCTCTTTAATTTACGTAATATTACTTTTTAAACGTGTAAATAACCGTTAAGGTCCGTAATATATACACGTAATAAGTGTTAAACGAGGGTTTAAATATAAACGAATTAATTAAGATTAATTAGTTTTTAACCGAATATAATTATTTCGTAACTATTTATAAAAACGTAAAGGAACGACTAACGCGTAAAAACAACCCTCGGACCGTTACGTTCTTAAATCCTTAAATACGGTTAATTATTAATAAACGTAACGATTAACGACGTTATAATACACCCATTTTAAACGAGGTTACGGCCTTAATCTTATACGAATATAATAAATAGTCCGTTTACGATATCGTTTTAAAGTTAAAAGACCCGAATTAACCTTATTACACTTATATTAACTTTAACCACGTTACTTATTTCCCTTTAGTATACGTATTAATGTTTCCCCGTAAAGAGATCGGTTTTTATTAAAATATTATATTCGATAACGGATCGAATAATAGTAACCCTCGTTTAACGTTAACGAAATAAACCCGATACTACTTATATCGACACGAAGGCCGGTTTAATATTATCCTATTCCTTTACGGTCGTTTATTTTAATAATTTTTAATAAATATATAAACGTATATCGATTAAAAACGAGTCCGATAAATTAAAACGAATTAAAAGAAACTATTAACGGAGTACTACTATATATTACGTACCGTGTTAAATTAGTTAAGATGGGACGAAATTATAATTAAAGAGTTAAGGCGTGTATTGATTATACTTATAACGTATATTAGTAACGACCGTTTTATAATAATATATTACGAAGACTTTATAGTTATTATACGTATATTTAGTCGGTCGTCGTTCTTTATTATATTTACTTATAACCCGAATAGTTTCGAATTACTTACTTAACTTCCGTTCGGAGTAAATATTTATAGTTATTCCGATATTATTATATACGTATTTAATAAATAAACGTAAGATTTATTTAATTAAGTCCGGAATAAGTAGATTTTTAAAGAGTTTCGTAGTTTAATATATACGATCGAGTATTAAAAACACGGTCTTTTATATATATATCTTTTATTATTTCTATTTATTATAAACCGTAATAGATTATTAAACCCGTATTATATTAATAATATTATTTTTACGGAAATTCCCGACCCCGAAATAAAACCGGAACTATATAAATTAGTCACCCGAAATATAATATACGGTCTTTACGGTCTTAATTATACGTTTATACTTTATATAAAACCGTCGAAGAAACCCGGTTAAAGTCTTTATTATTTTAAGGATTTTTTAAAACCGTTTTAGGACGAAACAACTATTAATAAAAACGGTTACTTATACTACCGTCGTCGGTACGGACGGGTTTATACCGTAACGACCCGTAATAATTAAAGAATTAAGGATAATAAATAAGTCGTTTTTTATAGTCCGTATTTATTATTACGGTATAAATCGTATATTAATATAAAGGTATACGGTTTTATAAATACTATAAAATACATTTATAAATATATTTATAAAGGGTCGGATATAGTCTCGGTCGTTTTTAAGGCCTGAAACCCGTGTAATTCGAACCGTTTTAATAAAATCGGGTTTTATACGAAATACCGTTATATTAGTCTTTACAAGGTAGTGTAGTGTATTTTCGAGTTTTCGGTATACTAAAAGTGGTTAATTATTATACGGTTTACGGTTTATTTTCCGGATAATTAATAAGTAATTTTTAAACCGACTTAATTAAAAACTTTAACGGAGACGATATAAAGGATAAAAAAGGTGTCGGAAAAGACTAGAACGACTTTAACGGTATAGTTTAAATATAACTCGTAGTACGAAAAGGCCCGGAACGTGTTATATTAAGACTTTTCGAATAAATATACTTTTTACGGTAAAGAGTAGTACTTAAAAAGAAATAATACTTATATTATCGGTCGTATACGGGTCGTTTTAAAAACGTACGACGAGATGTATTTTTTACGACTCTTATTTTATAACGTTTTAAACGTAATATTCTTTATATACCTTTATATAGTCGATAACGTCGAGTATAAAACGTTCCACGTCGTTTATAATACTCTCGGTTTATTAAATAACGATAACGATACGATTTATACGTTAACCGAAGTAATTATTATTCGGAACGGAACGGTCGTACGTTTTATATTTATAACTAAGTTAATGTTTAAGTTTATTACGGACCCGAATATTTTATAGTCGTAGTTTTAATCCTTTTTATACGATAACTTACTACGTCGTATTATAACCGATTAGTCTTTATCGTCGGTTATTTCGGATAGTTTTAATAATCTTTATTTAAATTACGGGTTATTTCTCTTCGAAGGTTTATTATAATAATACGGAAAATTATTAAATAATTTTAGTCTTTTTATACCTTAACTTAATTAATATCTTAATATAAAGTGTTTTATATTTATAAAAGAACGTTATAATTATAAAAAGTAAACCGTTACGGTAATAATAACCGAGGTATAATTAAACTCCGGTTAAAAGTTATATTTTAAAACTATTACGGGCCGTATCGAGTCGGCTCTTTCGAATACGCGTTTTTTTTTATAAAGACTTATAAGTATCGGTAAGACGTTTTTATACTAGTTATTAATCGTATACTACCGTTTTAAAGAATAAATCGTATTTTACGTTACTTCGTTTAATATTACGGCCCGTTTTTTACTTAACGGTCGTACGTTATACTCGTATTTTAAGATTTTAATTAAGATCGAGAGTACTTTTATATATAACTTTAGTAAAAGAACTATATTAGTCCGTTTAATTCGGAAGACGGGTTTAATTATTTAAAACGAGGTACTTATATAAGACCGTCGTTATTTCGAGGTTATAAATAAATAATTATAAAATATTCGTAGTTATAATAACTTATTTAACGGTTTACCCGTACTTTTCGGTGGTGACTTTATATAAATTCTTCCTGTTAAAAAAAAGGGAACGTGTTCGGAGATCGTAAGTCTCGTATTACGGTCGTTTACGTTTTAAAACGAGTTAACTATTTTA